CTCTGTGTGACCTTGGGCAAGTCACTACCTTTCTTTGGGCCTCAGATTTTCCATCGATTAAAAAAAAAAGGAAAATGCATGAGAATGATATCTCAGATCTTCCAATGGGGTGGTTCTTAAGAGAGTTCAGAAGAATGGGTTCTAGAACATGGGGAAGCGAGAAGGATGAAGATGGAGGTGAGGCCTTCAGCTGGGGCTGCGGAAAATCCCTAGGGATATGGCGGGGATAGGAAGCACAAAGCCTGCAAGGCTGGGGCAAGCTAGCCAGCGCCTCTGGAATCCTGTTGAAGGAATGGAAAAACTCTAAGTAGAGGAGGAGGTTGAGACCTAACCCAAGAAAGATGAAGACCAGAAGTAACATTCTGTTCTTCAGAGGGAGAGTGACAAGGAGATGTCAGGATCAGAGAGAGGCAATGGAAGATATTTTCTGGTATGACAGTTAGTATCTTTGGGGAGCAGGAAGAATAATAAGGCTGGTACAGGGGAGTGAGGACTAGGATGCTCTTGAAAACAGGGAGGGAGGGGCTGGTGCTCTTTGGGTCAGCTGAAGAAGGGCAGCAGGTAGAGCTAGAAAACAGGGTAATCACCTGGTCTCTCAGCCTCCATGATACATTTCTTTTTGATGATGGCTATGTACCTTCTTATGAGAGATGTGCCTCCCAGCCTTCATTTTCCAACACACATCCCTTCAGGGAGTGAGTCAGACCAGGCCAACCTGGGATCACCTAGCTGTCTGAGGATTTTAAGATTGTGTGAGGATTGGGGTGAAGAGAAAAGAGGGCAATGAATTTGAGTGTAAGAAATACCTGTGGCACCATCATCCTTGCTGGGAAGCAGTGTTGTGTAGTAGTTGAAAGCACAGGCTTTGGGATCAGACTGCTTGTATTCCAAACCTGCCTCTCCCAAAGCACAGGCTTTGGGATCGGACTGCTTGGATTCCAGACCTGCCTCTTGCTACTTAATCTCTCTGAACCTCAGTTTCTTTATGTATAAAATGGGGATAATAACCTCTAAGATGGTTGCAAGGATTAAATGAGTGTTTGGCATGGTATCTGGCCCATAATAAGCACTCAGTAGATATTAGCTATTAGTTGTTATTATTCCCTCTTTCCATTCTCATTCTTCTGTCTCTCTGTTCTTGTCCTTTTCTCCTTTTGTTCTTTTTTCTGAATCTTTAGTTTTAGATATCCCTTAGATGTGGAGGCTGAGAAGAACTGACTGCCTCTTGGGGGGGGGGGGGTCCTTCCACTGGCCCAGGTGAATATGTTGATCAAATGATCAGTTGTCTCTTCTTCATCTCTTCCTAGCTCACAAATGTTTTTTTATTCCTGAGAAAACACAGGATCTGCTTCTCTTTCAGCCCCTTTTTCTTATCCTTCTCTCAATATGAGTTACTTTTTCAGATTCTCACCTAGAAGTGTAATAAGACCTAAAGTTTTACAGGCACTGCAGCAAGTGAGATACTGACAGGAGTGTTTTGCGAAAGAAAGAAAGTATACACATCACACGGGGGAGGCTCAGGGAAGGGAGGGCTTTGGAAGTTCTATAGTAATTTACGTTCATTCGGTTGCTCTGTCCTCTGTAGGGAACTGTCCAAAACAGGCCAGTATCTGGATCCTGGCCAGGAGTCTCCATTCCAAGTTAAGGATGGTCATATACAGTTAGTATTTTATTGTTTAGGTTTTCCCTTGCCAGTATTTGATTCCAGTTCCCTTTCCTCAGCCACACAGACCTCTGCCACGCTGCCCCTCTCTCTTATCACAGTCAGCCTTCACCCGGAGAATTTATACACATGTACCTGGGACATGTGTTCACACGCACATTTGCCTGTTTTAGGATATTCCGGTATGCAAAAATAAGGTTAGGGATGAGTCTGCATTTTATCACAGCACTTTGTGTGCAGGGCCCTGACTAGACACTCAGAGAAGGCTTAAAAAGGAAAAAACTCAATCCCTGAATGTAGGGAAATCCCCCCCTGGGTAGGGAGACAGGTGGTCCCACGTGAAACACCCAGCAAACATCTACAGAGTAGCATGTTGCTCTGTGCTAAGTAGTGCAGCATTTATCCTGAAGGGACACAGTTAGGAATGTGTGTATGTGTGGAGGATAGTCATAGAGGTAAGTTGAAGGAGGTGAATACTGGATCATCTTGAACAAAGAGAGAAAGTGGAATAAAAGAAACACGTGGAGTGATAATTCCTGTGCAAAGAGGAGGAGGGAAGCCATTGAGTCAGGATGAGCCAAGACGAGTGTGAGATGGGCCTTGTTGAAAGGCTTTGAATGTTAGATGAGCGATTCTGTAGGGTGGGCAATAGGGAGCCACCACTGGATCTCAAGTAAGAACGAGATCATGTTGAATGCTTGCTGATTAACCACATGAGTTGCAGGGGGTATGCTAGAGTGAAAAAACAGACCTGCTTCCTGTGGGAAGGACTGTGTTAAGGGAGTAGGGCTGGAGGGCAGATTGGATCCAGCCCTGGCTGTGTCCCTAACCAGCAGCGGGACCTTGGACTTACTATTCCCCCTTAGTTTTCTCATCTGAAAAAAGGGGACTACCTAAGGTGGTTGCCACAGCGCCCTCTAGCTCTGACATTCTGTCTTCCCTGAATAACTACCAGCCTTACCAATAGCTTTGTTTTGTGGGATGAGACCATTAAGTAACAAATATTTATTAGCATGTACTATGTGCCAATAGGGAGTGGTAAGGAAAATACAGTGGGATAGGATATTGGGATGAGCAAAAACAAAGTCCTTGCCCCTTAGAGTTTTCAGCCTAGTGAAGGCAGCAGATATTTCATTGATTCTAAGACACATTTTAACATTTCTGAAGTCAAGATGCATCTTAAATTCAATAGAGTATTATAATTCAGTTGGCAGCATTTGTTTTTTATTAGTCTCACATAACATAATAGTACAATCAGAATTGTACAAGTAACTGTAAAATTCAAATGGATAATTGCTGAGGGGGAAGGTACATGGTGTACGAGCATGTAAAAAAGGGCTGTGACTAGTCCACTGGGTCAGGAGGAAGGCTTTCTTGGGAAATGGTGACTGGATAGATGTGAAGGATATGTAGGCGAGGTGTGTGGGTTGGCGGGAAGATTGCCCCACGCAGAGGTGGATGCCTGAGGTAGAGAATGGAGAGGTGAGTGTGGCTGGAGCACAGACCTGGAAGCTCAGCATGGGTGAGGCTGGCAAGGCACTTGGGGAGCAAACCTGCCACAGCCTCCTAGGCCTTGGGCAGGAGTTTTGGTCTTTATCCTAAGAGCAGCGGGAGCCATCAAGGGGGTTTTAAGCAGGGGAGTAACATGGTCTGAGTGCATTTTGATGAGCTCGTTATGTCTGCAGGTTGGAGTAAATGTGGGGAGACTAGTTGGGAGGCCACTGCAGTAGATCAGATGGAAAAAGGGGTGGTGGGGGTGGAGGAGGAAATGGAGAGAAATAGATGGATTCAAGAAATCTTTTTGGAGGTAGAATTAAGAGGACTCAGTGATGTATTGACAAGCAAGAGGGAGATGTGCAGAGTGACTCACAGGTTTCTGTCTGGGACAGCTGGTAGGAACCAAAGACGGTTACGTAGCAACTGGGAAGTTAGAGAGGATGCGAAGGCAGCTGGAGATGGGAAAGTGTGGCACAGGGAATTGGATTTTCTCCCGTGTGGACTGGTTTCTGACTTCTCATGCTGAGAAAAGTTTCAGGGCACAGGAGTGGGTCTGAATACCGGGCTAGACTGAACACTGAGAAAAGGTGATTCAAGTTGGAGTAGTTTGGTTTATCTCCTTCTCTCCTTAGGACATGGGCAGGAAGAGAGGAAGGACAGGTGTTGCTAAAGGTAGACATTAGCAAGTATCTTTAAACACTGAGCCTTCTCAGTATAGGGCTAATTGGGGAAGTAGGGCAGTTGGGCAGCAGTGAGGTGGCTCTTCAGCTAGCCACTACCTTTCCCTACCACTCTCCAACTTTCAAGCCAAGAGGAGGAAGGGTGTGGCCTTTTAGCTTCATCTCCAAGCCTCAGTTCACTTAAAAAAATTTTTTTTTGAATGGGTAATGTAGTCATATGGCTGCATGTTGAAAAGTTACAAAGGGCATGCAGTGAGACATTTCCCTTCTACCTCTGTCCCCCTTCTACTGATTTGTATGTCATCTTTTGTCTCCAATTTGATACCATCTCCAAGATGATAAAACTTTGCTGCACTTTGTTTTTTTCCCACTTGTTAATATATCTTAGAGATTGTTCCATATCAAGACAATGAGCTTCTTCATTCTTTTTTATGACTGCATGATATTCCATTTTATGTTTGTGTATAATTTCATAGTTACTTGCGGATAGATATTTAGGCTGGTTCCAGTCTTCTGTTTTTACAGATAATGCTGAAATGGAAACCTTGTACACACATCATTTTGGCCATGTGGGGCTATATCTGTAGGATCAATTTTTAGAATTGGAAGTTTCTATATAGAGAGTATTTGTTCCTTCATTCATTTATTCAGTATTTATTGAGTACCCATTATGTGCCAGATACTGTGGCAGGGACCAGGAATCCAGCTTTCCACAAGTCAGATATGATCCCTGCCCTCATGGAATGTTATTACCCTCTAGTGAGGGGAAACATTTAATTACAAAGTTGTGTACACAAGGAAACTAAAAAGGGAATCAGAGAATAAATTGGAAGGATCTGCTTTAAATAGAGTCAGGAAGGCTTCTTAGAGCAAGTGATATTTAAGTTGAGAACTAAAGGATGGGATGTGGCCAGCCATTAGGTGTAGGACAGAGATCTAAGCTATTCAAAGCCTCATCCACAGGGAAATGAGTTGAGGATCTCTAGGGGAGGAGGAGTAGAGCTAGGGAGATGAGGGAGATGATTGGGAGTGGAAGACGTCAAAAAGAGTGAGTGACTAAAGATGGGGCCAGTTAGGGGAGGGGGCCGCTGGTGAAGAGAGGAGAGTTAGGGAGACTAGTACTTATGAAGGACTAATGCTTATTTGTGTTGGGAGGGCTTTGGGATTGAATCTTTGTCACTGGGTGAATTCAGATAGGGGAACACGAAAAGAGGCCACTTCCTCCGTGGACTCTTTGGGAATGAGAAACCCCTGTTTAACTGGTTTGAGGGAGGCACAGTCTTGCCCACAGGCAGGAGAATGGATGAAAAGCCTTGGGAAGAGCCAGTCTGTGCCTGTAGTGGAGCCTCTTCCATCTTTTCTGTGGCTTTGGCAAAGTGGAAACTTCAAAATAAAGATGACATTGAAGGGGCATGGCCAGCTGGCTCTGGGCTGGTGGAAGAGAGAGCAGACCTACCCAAGGCTCAGAGCTGGGGGTGGGCAGGAAATTGGGCTTGGAGACCCTTCCTCTGAACTTTGTGCTCCTTTTTCATCCTCATCCCTCTGCTTCCCTTTTGTAAGCCAATCTCTTTGCCCATCCTGGGTCCTATGACTTTTCTCTCCCTCAACAGTCGGTTCCCGATTCTGGTCCCCGGCCCCCAGCAGCGCCTGCCCCCTTCCCACCGGGGCCCCCCATGATGCCACCACCCTTCGTAAGTTTTTGTCTTTCCCTCGGCTTGGCTTTTCCAGCCTGCACCCCCAACACCTCAGTCCCTAGCACTGCTGCATCACCAGCACGGTTTTTGTATATTGCCCCCTTCTGCTGCCCTTGGAAGATGGATGGTTTTGCTTGGGCATTGGGGTGGGAGGAGCTGCTGTTAAGCTCTCAGTCCATGAAGTTGACAGTTCCTCCTTTGTCTTTTTGTCCTTGGGACATACTGGGGTCTCCTGGGGGGTAGGAGAAGTGAAAGGAAAAGACCCCATTAGTGTGAGGGCAGGCGGGGCTGTCTTTCTCTTTCAGTACTCCTTATCTGTATTCTTTAAATATGCCACAGAAGTCAGGCTGGAATAGCAACTGGTAGTCCGAGTTGGAGAAAAAGGGATGAGTGACAGGGGACTGGGGGATTTGGGTACCTGGACACCTGCCTCTGGCCCTGTATCTGAGAAGCTTCTCTGGGGTGAGCTGCTGAAGAGGTGGAGCCTTCCAGCTGCAGTCCGGTGGCAGTTACACTTCCCTTTTCCCTCTTCCTTCCGTACCTCTCAAGAAGCTGTGTCCTTGCCTGTTAGACTCAGAGGACCCCCCGGTTATCAGTCTTTCTCAGTGATGAAGAGGGAGGCAGTTTTATGCTTTGTAATTCTCAAACTAAAGCCTTGGAATTGCCTCAGAGCTGAGAGGGAGGGTTGGGAAGGGTGGGAGACAAGGTGTTTCCTGACAGGTCTAAGGCAGTGTCTTCTCTGCTCAGTGTCTCTGCCTTTCCTCATTTCCAGATGCCCCCTCCAGGAATCCCCCCACCCTTTCCTCCGATGGGGCTACCCCCCATGAGTCAGAGACCACCAGCCATCCCTCCCATGCCACCTGGCATCATGCCCCCAATGCTTCCACCAATGGGGGCGCCACCACCACTCACACAGGTAATCCTGCCCCCTGCATTGGCGCCTCAGAAAACCCTGTGAGTTTAGCTGGGGGTGGAGATGAGAGTCATCATCTGGACTTCAGAAACTGGGGAGGGAAGGGAGGGAGCTTCGGGCCAGGCCCATGTCGATCTGTCTGCTAAATGACTGGAGAAACGCTAGGCTAGGCCCAGAGCCCCAAACCTGGGGATTGCCTGAGGAGGTGCCCATGTGAGAGTCATGGCCCCAGTCTCTGTCAGGACCCTGCCCAGCTTGGGCGTGCCCTCATCTCAGTAGCTGGTTTTTGTCTTCTTTTTATCCATAGATACCAGGAATGGTACCTCCCATGATGCCAGGAATGCTGATGCCAGCGGTGCCCGTCACTGCAGCGGTAAGCGTTGGGGGCTGGCAGGAAGCCGTGTGGGTCTGATGTGGTGTACAGGGATATGGCCTCCTTTCTTTGCCTCTTCTCTTCGGATCACCCTGGTCCCTGGTGGCACTCCCCACCCTCAAGTCCTTTCCAGCCACATACTCTGCTCTTCTAGTGTCCCACTCATCCCCAAAGGCATGCCCATTCTCTTTTGGTATTCCCTCCCTGCCGCTGTGCCCAGCTCCCTTAAGGAACACACTCATGCCGGACACTGCTTACCTTGCATAGCTTGCACTGTGGACACTTGAATACAGCCCCCTCTTCCCATCTTCTCTGCCTCAGGAGGAAGCAACAGCATCTTGGGATCTCGCTGTACTTTCTTGTGCTGTTGCTCAGTGTAGTAAGAGTCTGGGTACGAGGTAGAATTTGGTATCCACTGTGAAAGAGATGGGCCTTGGAGGTCAACTCAACAAAATACTCTCACTTGAGGAAAATAAAGAAAGGAGCTGCTGTGTGATTCGCCCTGGGGTCCTAGAGCCAGGGCCTCAGAGGGTGGGGGCAGCCTCTTAGGGAGCAGAGATCCTTGGGAGCAGGAAACCTGGATCCTGGCCTGGCCTGCTTCTCTATCCCCCATGGCCTGGGTCCTGGGGGCCACTGGGCTTGGCCCCAACCCTTCCCCCTCCTCTTTCTTCGGCAGACGGCTCCGGGTGCAGACACCGCCAGCTGTGAGTCTTCTGGGGGCCTGCTCCCCCCAGGCTCGGAGGTTGGGGGGATAGGGGAGAGGGGACCGTGGACTAGAGCCCACCCTGGATCATGCGTGTTGGGATGCCAGGGAGCCTGGGATGTTGATGGGACCAGGGGATATTTATTGGGGATGGATAAGGGAGGAATAGTTGGGGATAAGATGGGAATTGGAGCAAGGAGTTAATATGTTTCCTTTGGCTTCTTTTCTAGCTGCTGTGGGTGGGACAGGCCCTCCGGTGAGTTCTTCTAGCTCAGGGGTCTCTGGGTAGAAAGGCTGAAAGCGGGGGGCTGATGGTTAAATCTTTGGGGTGAGGAGGAGAAGCTTTGGCAAAGGGGCCTTGACCACCATTCTGTGCACCCCCCACCCAGAGGGCCCTATGGAGTGAGCATGTGGCCCCTGATGGGCGCATCTACTACTACAATGCTGACGACAAGCAGTCCGTGTGGGAGAAGCCCAGCGTGCTCAAGTCCAAGGCAGAGGTCCTGAATGGGGCTTTCTGGCCCTTCCTTTCAGCTGCCCTGACCCTTCCAAGTCCTTGGCCTCCCTCAAGTCTCTAAACATACACATGGTTCCTCTGATCCCGAGATCCCTGACCACCCTCCGACCTTCCTAGGCTCTCAGGAAGTCCACCTTCCCCCGTGCTGAACCAGGCCAGGTGGTAGCTAAAAACTCCTGTGTCCCCTACTCACTGGATCTCTTAGCTCCCCCACCTGGCTGGAGGGCATGCCCAGCCCACTGATGTCCTCTGACCCATCCTCTTGTAGCTGCTGCTGTCTCAGTGTCCCTGGAAAGAGTACAAGTCGGACACAGGCAAACCTTACTACTATAACAACCAGAGTAAGGAGTCCCGCTGGACCCGGCCCAAGGACCTGGATGACCTGGAGGGTGAGGAGGGGTAGGGCCCGGGCAGGGCTCTGGGAGGTGGCCCATGACACACCGTGACCATATTATCTTTTCCCATTGTAGCTCTAGTCAAACAGGACGCTGCAGGGTGAGTGACTTGCCCCACCTGTCTACCTGAGGGGTGGGAGTGGACTCTCTCCTCCCGATCCATCCATCGCTACTTCGTGGGAGAAAGAGCCAGCTCTCAGTCTCCTTGTGGAGTGGTCTCCTCTGGCCCCAGTCCTTCACAGGATAGAGAGACCAGCTAGCCCCTGACTACCTCTATCCCTGCTCTACTCCTGGACACTGCCCTTCTGGCTCACCTGCAGGAAACAGCAACAGCAGCTGCCACAGACACTACAGCCGCAGCCTCCTCAGCCACAGCCTGACCCCCTACCTGCGCCTCCTGGCCCCACCCCAGTGCCCACCGGCCTCCTAGAACCTGAGCCAGGTGGGAGTGAAGATTGCGATGTGTCAGAGGCTGCCCAGCCCCTGGAGCAGGGGTTCCTTCAGCAGCCGGAGGAGGGCCCTAGCAGGTGAGGGCTGCCCCCCCGCGGCATTCCAGATGCTGGCCTCAGGCTCCAGGCTGGTTCAAACCTTGACCTCTGCCAGGCCTCTTGGGAAGGGTGTGAAGATCTGGGTGTGACCTCTGAAGGGCAGAAAAGGGCTGCTCTGGGAGCAAGGAGGGGGTGGTGTGCTGCTGATCATGCAGGGCACTGAAAGCTATGGGGACTGGGGGACGCTGTGGCTGAGTCCCCTTTGCCCCCAGTTCTGGACAGCATCAGCCACCACAGCAGGAGGAAGAAGAATCAAAGCCAGAACCAGAGAGGTCTGGCCTCAGTTGGAGCAATCGGGAGAAGGCAAAGCAGGCCTTCAAGGAGCTGCTGAGGGACAAGGTGCTGGTGGGGGGCTCTCAGGGTAGGCCTGGAGGGGGCTGGAGGTGGGCAGGCCCCGTGACCCCTGCCTGCTCCATTCCAGGCTGTCCCCTCCAACGCCTCGTGGGAACAGGCCATGAAGATGGTGGTCACCGACCCCCGTTACAGGTAGGCCTGGGCAGAGGGAGCCAGGCCCTCCAGGCCCTGTTTATGAGAACAGCTGGGCCAGGAACTCCCCGAGAAACCCCAGCTCAACACTCAGGCCCCAAGGGGGCCAGAGTCAGGAGAGTGATAGACGGGTAAGGGTGCAAGGGGAAGAGAAGCTGGAGGGCCTCCAGGAGGAGGGGAAGGTGTCTGACATGAGACATTCAATAAATGCTTGTTGAATTGAATTGATTCGAATTGAATTAATTGGGGAAAGAGGGGACTGGATAGGGCAGAGGCCCGCCTGCAACTTGAGAACCCTAAAGCAAAAGGGCCCAGTATTAGCAGTGTCTTGGAGCCCGGTCTCTTCCCCTCACTGCCTCTAACCCTTCCCCACATCCCAGAGACCTGTCTTGCCTCCCTGGGCCCTCGGAGCCCCTGCAGCCTGCTGTGCCCATGCATGGTCCCCTCACTCAGTTCTGTGTGCCATGACCCTGCTTTGTGGGCTGTGCAGGGTGGTTCAGGCTGACTCCTTTATCCCCACTCCACTCCCATCCTGTCCACCCCAGTGCCTTGCCCAAACTGAGTGAGAAAAAGCAGGCATTCAATGCCTACAAGGCGCAGCGGGAGAAGGAGGAGAAGGAAGAGGCCCGGCTAAGGGCCAAGGAGGCCAAGCAGACCTTGCAGCATTTCCTGGAGCAGCACGAACGCATGACCTCCACCACCCGCTACCGGTCAGGGGGCCGGGCTGGGGTGGGGCCTGGGAACCCTGAGAACACACGGGCCTAGGGTCTCTGTTCTCTGCCTGCCGACCCACAGCCTATGTGCTCCACAGGAGGGCAGAACAGACCTTTGGGGAGCTGGAGGTCTGGGCTGTGGTCCCTGAGAGGGATCGAAAAGAGGTTTATGATGATGTCCTCTTCTTCCTGGCCAAGAAGGAGAAGGTAACAGTCACTGGGCTGGATCCGTCAGCCCCATTTCATCTTAGAATCCCCATGTCTTTGCTTCCTGATGGGCCCTGGTCATTCACTTCTCCACTGCCCCAGGGTCCCAGCTCCTTACTTGGGAGCTGGTGTGGCACTTGCACATCCCCCCATTTCTGCTCTGAGCCTACAACCTCGGGCATGAGAGGGCCAGAAGGAGTTACTGAGGGGTCGGTCTGTAACCTGTGCTCCTTCCCCTTTCAGGGGCCATGAAACCTTTGCGTCTGGCCCTCCTAGGGTTCCCTAGCTGCCTACCTTTCCCCAAATCCTCCTCTGCCCAGGCCTGCTTGAGTAGCTCCGGCCTGCCCTGCCTCACCCTGACCCTGTGGCTCCCCAGGAACAGGCCAAGCAGCTCCGGCGCCGCAACATCCAGGCCCTGAAGAGCATCCTTGATGGGATGAGTAGCGTCAACTTCCAAACCACATGGTCCCAGGCCCAGCAGTACCTCATGGATAACCCCAGCTTTGCTCAGGACCACCAGCTGCAGAGTAAGCCCAGTCTCCAGTCCTGCCTGTCCCTTCCCCGCTCTTCGTGGATCTGAGCCCCCAGAGCCTGCTGCACACTGCTCCCCTGCCCCTCCTGGACATCCAGGAGTCCCCAGCACTCACTCAGTCCTTATCCCTGTACCTCTCTGGACTCTGGAGATCCCAGAATGCTTCAGGACACCCCCTCCCTCCCTTCAGGGTTCACTGTTGACATGGACATTGTGTCCTTGGAGGAAGAGCTCTGGGACTGGAGTCAGAAGACCTGGAGATGATGATTTTTATAGCTCATATGAATATGGTCTTAAATCGTCATGGCACTCTGGGCCTTAACTGGTCACACATGTTACAATAAGCTGTTGGCCTGTAATCACTGACGATATCAGTAATTTACCTCCTGAAGTTGCATCAAAACCTGATTGATTCCCGGTTCCATAAAACATAAAACCTCAGATCCTGAGATAACTGGTTTCATATGATGACTTCCAGTAACTGAATTTACAAGAGCCGAATACTTGCTAATTTTTTCTCATATAATTAATGAATCCTCCTCAAGAACCACTATTCCAGCAGCCTCTCCCACAGAGCCCTCTGCCCCCCTTGCCCCACCACCCTGAGTGTCCCCGGCACCTACAGGGACAACATCCTTAAAGCACTGGGGGGCTGGGGTCTGAGAGGGTGTCTGTTGCTGATGTGGTGCCTGCTGAGCCTCCTCCCCACGCTTAGACATGGACAAAGAAGATGCGCTGATCTGCTTTGAGGAACACATCCGAGCTTTGGAGAGGGAGGAGGAGGAGGAGCGAGAGCGGGCCCGGCTTCGGGAGCGGCGCCAGCAACGCAAGAACCGGGAGGCCTTCCAGGTATCTTTGCCACCCTCTGGATCAGAGCTCACTCTGCCCTGGTCTTTAGCCTCCCCGCCCATGCCCTGCCTCCTCGGCCAAGCCCACTGTTTTGTCTGTGTCCAGCCCTATCCCAGCTCCAGGAGGCCTCTCTATGTCTGTAGTTCTGCTCCTGCTGTGTCCCCTCTATTCTGGGTGGAGCTCCTCTAGGAAGACTAGATGTATGCACAACCCAGAAACTGCCAGTAGTAAACACCTTAAAGGCACAGCTTGGCAGCTACGCCAAGTTTATTTCCCTTCAGTGGGGAGGCAGACAGGCCTAGCTGGCTTATCCCCCAGCTTGGAGGTGGTACTGGTGGTGGTGGTGGTGGGGTTACTTAGCTGTATGTAACACGTCGAGAAGTTGAAACCAAGTCATGGGAAGATTGTGCTGCAGGCAAATTTCTGTTTCTTTGCCTCCCAGCCTGGCTCCTTCTCTTGTTTTAGTCTGTCCCTCTCTGTGTTTATGTTCTTTCCTTTCACATTGCTCTCTGCCTCCCCATCTGTGTCTCTTCGTCTCTGCCTCCCTTGCCTGCATTTCCTCAACCTGGATTGTCTCTGCCTCTCCCTGCCATCCCCTCCCCACCTCCCCGGTCTTTGACTCTGCCTCCCTCCCTGTCTCACTCTTCCTATAACTGACCTCTCTCTGCTCAGACCTTCCTGGACGAGCTGCACGAGACGGGGCAGCTGCACTCTATGTCCACCTGGATGGAGCTGTACCCAGCGGTCAGCACTGACGTCCGCTTTGCCAACATGCTGGGCCAGCCGGGTAAGGCAGCCAGGCTCCCCTTCTCTGGCCTGGCTTCCTGCCCTGCCAGCCTCTCTGCATCCCCACTCCCTGGTCCTTTCCTCGACCCCGTCCCCAGGCCTTGGGAAGCTGCCGCCCGCCAGGCCCCCCTCCCTCCCTCCCCCGCAGGCTCCACCCCTCTGGACTTGTTCAAGTTCTATGTGGAGGAGTTGAAGGCACGATTCCATGATGAGAAGAAGATCATTAAGGACATCCTTAAGGTGAGGGAGGCCCGGGGTTGTGGATGGATGCAAGCTGGGTATGGGGCACACCCCCCAGACAGGACTTGCTGATAAGTCCTGTTTTGCAGGAGTGTTGCAGCTCTGTTCAGCAGATATCTACTGTGATCCTGTACTGTGCGCTGGGGACATAATAAGATATAATTTCTGCCCATAAGGAGCTTATGGCCTAATAGGAAGATAGATATGACATCTATTACACAGAGGGGCAAGTTATTACAGAGATGAGAATCAGAAGAATTGACATTTGAACTGTACCTTTAAGAAGGAGCAGATGGAGTGGGTAGAGGTCCCGGGCATAGGGTACTGCAGGACGAAGGCAATAGGGTGGAAAGGACATGGCCGGTTTGAGGAGCAGGAAGCCCAGCTAACCATAAACTGGCAGCCCACAAATACGTTCCTTCTGGCCTGTGCAATGTTTTAGAAAAATTTGGAATTTGTTGCTGACATTTTAAAATCGGGAGATTGCACGTAAAAATCTGGATCTTCAGCTTCTCTTGAAAATTTAGATTACCTAGCAACACTGGGCTGGTTTTGCAAGGCATTCAGTGGACTCAAGCTGAGATGCCACTTCCTTTTAGAAGGGGCATGTCGTCCTTATCCTCACATCTCCTTATCACTTCCCTGATGTGGCAGCGAGTTCAGCTGCCACTTATCATCACACATGCACGTTGCTTTTCTTACACTGGAGAAGTAGTTCTCAACATCCATGTCTATCAAAGGTGGAAAAGTGAGTGAGGGACTAAGAGAGCCTTGTGTTTCAGAAGGAAAAAAACAAAAGGAAAGCAACTTTCATTGTGGAAGTGAAGAACATTCTAAGGCATTTGAGGAGGCAGAATAGCACAGTGGTTAGGAGCAGGACTGTGGAGGCAGACTGCGTTGGGTACAAGTCCAGCTTAACCACTTATGAGTTGCGTGACTTCGGGCAGATTTCTTAACCTTTCGGAGCCCCAGTTTCCTTTCTGAAAAATGAGGAGTTTGCCACCAAAGTATACCTCATTACCGAGGGGAGTAACTTGGTACCTGGATGAGAAGGGTCTGAGAATAAAACTAGAAATGTCCCGCTGCACATACATTTCTTTGAAGTCCTATGTTTTGCCTCACAAATTCATGCATGTGTTGCATTTTAATACCATATTACTGCTCTGTTTAATATAAACTTAATATTTTAAAATTACTTACCATTAGGTAAGATATATCATATTGTCCTGTGGCTTCCTCTTTCTCTGGAACCACCTGCCCCAGTTTGGAAGTAGAGCCCTGCGTGTAAAATGCCTTGAATGCTAAAATAAGAAATTTGGATTTTTATCTTGTAAGTAATGGGGAGCCGGGGAGTGACGTGATCAGACGATGTCTTGGAAAAGCCACTGGTGCTAGTGGAGAGTCGCACCTCTCAGCCTGAGAACTAGTACCCTTAGGGATGGGAGGTGGTAGGAGGATAGATCTTGAAGCCTCAGGATACTGAAAGTGATAGTGGCAAGTAATTCAAATAAATTCTGAGCTTGAGTCATCTTTTTCTGACTCACCCACAGACCTCTTCCCTGCCGTTGGGGCCATGTGGTAGAAAAGCCTGAGCAGCACTGGACTCTCAGGGCTGGGCTGGAGGTGTGGGAGAGGGTGTGCAGGGAGCCCAGTCAGGAGGCTGTGATCTGGGGGGGCAGTGAGCTTCGGGCGGGGGCAGTGGGGATGGGGATGAGGGGAGAGCTGTAGTGCTCCAACTGTGTGTCGGAGACTCCCTAGGTTTCGTCAGAGGTGCCCTGGGATAAGCAAGGGGGGGTTGAGGAGGGGGAATTTTATGCTCCTTCCTCTATTTTCAAGTACAGCAGCATGCTTCTCTTTTATACACAGAGGTTCTACATAAGATTTTTATTGAAAAAATGTTTCTGCTGTTAAAAAAAAATGAAACTTGAAAACCAGTAGGATACAGTCACTCAGAACTAGAATTGACAGATTTTTTTTTTGTGAAATTGAAGGAAAAGAAGGAGTGAGTTGAAGTTGGCAGGAGTGGATGATGGCACCATGGGTAAGGATTAAGCAGAAAGAGCAGGGCTAGAGAAACTAGGAATTCCATTTGGGGACTTATTCTCAAAAGCAGCCTGGGGCAGGGAAGAATAAAGCACATACCGTATTTTAAATAGGATAATCATATAAAGTAGAAATATCTAATCCCAGGATAGCTCAATTTTATTGGACACTTAACTTTTAGCCACAGAGTGGCTGGTCCTGCTGACAGGCTTGCAGGAGTCCTATCCTCACTGAGTCCTGTCTGTCTACACCTCCTGAGAAAGAAGCTTCTTTAGCAAGTTCCCCTTTCTGTTCCTCCTTTTGGGCTCCTACTTATGGAAGGCAGATGAGCCCAGGAGTCCCTGTGGCCATCTGCCACCAGGCACACTGTGATGGCGCCTCTCATAGGATAATGCAAAGAGCCCTGGACTTGGAACAACTGTGAAGATCCAGGCCTGGGAGATCCATGGCGGGGGGGGGGGTCATGGGAAATGAACTCTTGGGATCTGCTGAATTTGAAGTGTCTATGAAATATCCAGTCTAGTATGGGTCTGAAAATCAGGAGAGGTGGAGGGATGAGATTGCTAGGGACAGTATAGATTGGATAGTGAGAAAAGATTAAGTGCTGTTATCAGGGGAACAAGTGTATGCAAGAGAGGTGATAAAAGAGGTCAGAGAGACAGGAGGGGACCCTGGAGAGGGGAGTGTCTAAGGAGTGAACAGCAGAGGTGCTGAGGACCAGACGAGCAAGGACTGAGAAGGGGCACTAGGAGTTGGCTGTTAGGCCATGAGCAACCTTTGGGAGAGCAGTGTCCGTGAAGAGGGTGGAGTGGGTGCAGCACAGGCTTTAGAGTCAGATAACTCCTGGCTGTTTATTGGGTGAGACCTCTGAAAGTTCTTTAATGTCTCTGAGCCACAGTTTCTTCATCTGTAAAATGGAGATAATTTATGTGTATGGTTGTGAGAATTAAATGATAACATTTGTAAAGTGTCTTGCTTGTAGTAGGCTCAGTAAGTGTTTGTTTGTTTTCTTTGTGCTACATTTAAAGAAACAAAGGGAAAGACGCAGAGATTGTTAGCATGAGGAAGGTGAGAGCAGGGTAGATAGTATGTTCCAGGTTAAGTGAGTTGTGTGCTTGATGGAAGGAACCAGTGAGGAGGTGAGATTAAAGCCTTCGATTCCCTAAGAAAGAGAGAGATTGATGTGTTTGAGGAGAAGGGCTGGAAAGCATGGGTTGAGGAAGTCCTCTTGGAAGAATTCTTGCAGGAAGAGCATGCCTCTGCCATCAGCAGGAAGGCTGGAACAAGTTGGAGCTGTGTGGAGGGAGAGGAAGGGAATCTGGGCCTGTGCCCCAGGTGACTCGAGAGCCAGACTTCAAACGCCAGTGCCTCCACTCTGCACCGTGTTGTCTTGGGCCAAGTGAGATAACTTTCCTAAGCCTCTGCTTCACTGGGGTGTTGTGAGGCTTAGATGAGAAGCACAGAGCCTGGCCCATGGTGCTTCAAGAATGTGAGGTGTTCTTAATATTGTTTGGGAGTTGCACACTTGATGGCCTCTGTTTCTCCTGTGGACTGAGTGATCTATGTGGGTCTTGTGCTTAACAGTACAGGCTTTGGTGTTTGAAAGACCTGGGGTAGAGTCCTCGCTCAGCCACATAGCCTGAGACCTTGGGCAAGTGCTCTAGTTTCTCTAAACCTTGCTTTCTCCTTCTACATAAAATTAGAAGACTAGGACCTATCCTTAAATTTAGATAGGTGAGGATTAAATGAGATAATGTGTGTGAAGGACTCAGCGTGGTACCCGGTACATGGTAAACACTCAATAAATACAGCCAAAGGGTGGGACCAGCAGATGTTGACTGAGAACGCATAGAAGTTACTGAGCAGCAGGAGGGCCCAGCTGGGGCCCCAGCTTTAAGCCAAAGGAACAAAGAGCCAGTTGTGAGAAACTCAGGCATCAATCGGCAGATGTGGCACACACACACCCTGCCCCCCTCCTGATGTGATCCAACCCCCCGGCTCCCTGTGACAGGTAAACCAAGGGTAGGCATGGGGGACTTAATCATCAGATGGCGAGGACCTGGACAACTTGGTTTTTGAATGTGTCCCAGTCCTGTGGATCTCTTCTGGGGGTAGGGGGCTTCTTGAGCTTCCTGTAGTCTGACCCCCCTGCCTGCCCCGGAGGCCACCTTTGGGCCTCAGGCCCGTCCGTGGTGCCCCCTGCTTCATGCGCTGCTGTGCCCACAGGACCGGGGCTTCTGCGTGGAGGTGAACACAGCCTTTGAAGACTTCGCCCACGTCATAAGCTTTGACAAGAGGGCTGCTGCGCTGGACGCAGGCAACATCAAGCTGACCTTCAATAGTGTGAGGGGCCAGGCGGGGCGGGGCTGTAGCCAGGACTCTGTTCTTGAACTCATCCCTGTGTCTTGTTCCATTCCTTCTCGCTCACTGCCCCAACGTGGCTGTACCCCCAGTTCAGGGAATGATAGTAGGAACCCAGACCCCAAATTCCTATCTCCTAAGGTATGCCTGAGTGGGACCTGGGCACTCACCTTCCTGGGTGACTATGTTCTGTGTCCTTTCTGCTCTCAGCTGCTGGAGAAAGCAGAGGCGCGGGAGAGAGAGCGGGAGAAGGAGGAGGCGCGAAGGATGCGGCGCAGGGAAGCTGCCTTTCGAAGCATGCTGAGGCAGGCCGTGCCTGCCCTGGAGCTGGGCACTGCCTGGGAAGAGGTCAGGACTGCAGCCTGGCACCAAACACCACCCCCTCAGTCCTGAGGGCAGCGGTGCTTCTCCACCACTGGGGGCCCACCCCAGTCATAGCACAGCTCAGGGCCGGCTCAGGCTCCTTTCCTTCCTCTGCCCCAGCCCTGCCCTGTGTTCATGGCGGCGTCCATGCTGTGCTGGGGCTGGTCTGATCAGCAGTGCTCTCCCGTTCAAGGTCCGTGAGCGCTTTGTGTGTGACTCAGCCTTTGAGCAGATCACCTTGGAGTCGGAGCGGATCCGGCTCTTCCGGGAGTTCCTGCAGGTACTGGAGGTGAGGCAGAGCTTCTGGTCCTCTGGATCTCTCTCAGGCTCTTGAACACCTGAGGAGGCCAGCTCAACAGAGACCTCAGTGACTTCTCACCCCTGGGGCTCTCCTTGCCCTGGACAACTAAGGAAGGGGAGATCTTAGGGTGCCCTGGGATAGGCCTAAGGCCCTAGCCTCAGGGAAGGAGGCAAAACCAGGTTTTAGGATGCAGGGTTCTTCCTGGGGCTAACCCTGGTGCCTTCCTCACCCCTCCCTCTGCTCTACCAGACTGAATGCCAGCACCTCCACACCAAAGGCCGAAAACATGGCAGAAAGGGCAAGAAGCACCATCGCAAGCGTTCCCACTCGCCCTCAGTGAGTTGGCAGGTAGAAGGGACGGGTGAGGCTGCATTGTCTGGGGGCCTAAGAACCACTTTTCTTGTTTTTGCCCTACATCACCTCCCTTGGAGGGAGATTTGAAGATTCTTTTGGCCCTGGATCCTCCTCTCTGTCCCCAATTCCCAGACCTGAGGGCTTCTGGAGGCCAGAGAACCTCTGCGCTGACATGTATCTGCTCATCTGCCCAGGGCTCTGAGTCAGAAGAGGAGGAGCTGCCCCCACTGTCTCTCCGGCCCTCCAAGCGGAGGAGACGGAACCCCTCAGAGTCAGGCTCTGAGCCCTCTTCCTCACTTGATTCGGTTGAAAGTGGGGGTGGTGCCCTTGGAGGACGGGGCTCCCCATCCTCCCGCCTTCTCCTTGGATCAGGTAAGCAGTTGGGAGTTGGAGAAGTTGGCCCAGATGGACAGGAGGCCCTTGGGAAGCCCCAACCCCCTGAGGGTAGAGTGGTTTGGGAGGGCTGCACCATCGCAGAGTAGGAAGAACGTCCCATCTCTGCCCAGGCAGGAAACTGGGAGAAGGAAGGAAAACTGGACTGACTGCAACTTCCGCAGACAGGTCCTTTCCTGTGAAGAACAAGCAGATGGACCATGGCAGAGAAAAGGATGAGCCCTCCCTTCTCCCATGGGACTTAGTGGGGGTTTTTCTGTCTCTAGATCATAGCCTTCGGAAAGCCAAGAAACCAAAAAAGAAAACTAAGAAGAGAAGACACAAGTCGGTGCGTAGAGAAGGAACTTCTACCCAAGGCCCTGCTGTTTGTGAGATCTCTTCCACCCGCCTCCCAGGCTGTCCTTCACAGGAACTGAGGAGGGGGGCTCTGGGCTCTTACAGAACAGTCCTGAGAGTGAGACAGACCCTGAGGAGAAAGCTGGCAAGGAGAGTGATGAAAAAGAGCCAGAACAGGATAAGGACAGGGAGCTCCGGCGAGCAGAGCTCCCTAACCGCTCCCCAGGCTTTGGAATCAAGAAGGAGAAGGTGAGAGGCAGGCGCCTGGCCCAAGCCCCGTCAGCACTCTGTCCAGGCCTCCACGGCCTTTGGTGGGGGGAGCTTTTGGTGAGCTGTGCCTTTGCTCCACCAGACGGGCTGGGACACATCGGAAAGCGAGCTGAGCGAGGGTGAGCTGGAAAGGCGGCGGCGGACACTTCTGCAGCAGCTGGACGACCACCAATGACCTGACGAGCCGCTCTGCCTTGGGTCTGTGTGAGGCTCTGGCTCCTAGGTCACCCTCACCGTCTGCCCCAGACTCCTTCCTTAGTCTGTTTTCCTCAAGTAACCCCACCCCAACACACCATTGCTGGCACCTCCCAAAGTTGCTTGTGGTGTTGAAGGGTCCCCACTTCCCGGACAAATAGTGCAGTCCTTGCCCTCAGCCCCAGACCAGAGATTGGTGGTATATGCCATGTGGGGTGGGTAGTGCCAGTAGATAAAATGTGAGAAAGGGCCTCCAGGGAAGAGTGACAGGCTGGTGGACACAGCCTGGGTGGCAGAGGGCGGGGTCCTTACCCTCTAGCATCAGTGCCTGCTCCTGCCCGCCCAGGCCCTAGGGCTCCACCACTCCTTGCTCCAGCCCTGGGACCCCGTGTATGTGTGTTTTGTTTTGTTTTGTTTTTGTTTTTTAAATAACAATATTTATAACATGGCCATTGGCTCTTTTGTGCTCTCCATATGCTACGGGGGCAGGCTGGGGAAGGTGCATGCATGGCCAGCAGAGGGCACTAGTGTCTCACAGCAAGCCTGCCTCCCTTTCTGTGGTTGGAGCCCACTCAGCCTGGTTCCCCTTCCCCAGGCTTTTGCACTCACCTCCCCTAAGCAGATGGCAGCTCTGCCCAGCCTCCTTTCTGCCCCCCTGGCCAAGGTCAGGCTAAAGGGCTACTCTAGCCCCCCACACTCCGAAAGAGGAGACAAAGTCAGGCCTGGTGCTTCAAGCCTTTGTTGAGATAAGGAAGGTCTGGGGTTTATGTACAAGCGAGAAGGGAGGTGGTACATATACAAGAAGGAGTGGGCCCCTGTGTTCCCTTCCAGGGGCTGAGAATAAACTGGCAGAGGACTGAGAAAATAGCTAAGACTGCCATGCCCCCTGCCCCCTGCCAAAAAAAAAAGAAATCTAGCTGAGGAAAGGAGGTAAGGATGCTGTTGGCATTCCCTTTCTCTAGCTATCGTGGGGCCGGGGCAAAGAAAACCACTACCCCTCGGCCCACCTCGGCAGGGAGAGTCAGCCTAGAAAGAAAAGGGCCAAGGGCAGTGAGCATGGAGCCTGTCCTCTACCCTTATCATTAGGGCACAGCTGGGCAGGGCCCAGGCTTAGGTGGGCCTTGCTCCTGGTAAAAGATGATCTGAGATTGGCAAGGTCCCAGGGCTCCCTAAGCCTGGACACTTCTAGACCATAGCTGACCATAGGGCTGCAAAAAGGAAGGGAAAAGAAGGGATAGTTGCTTTCTCCTTTCGTCCCTCTGGCTCTGGTGAGAGTGAGGCCTGGGTGCCCCTGTATAGGCTAAAGCTGGAAATGTTTTTTTCCAGCTCTGAGCTGACTCTTCAGGAAATGAAGTTGAAGACCTTGGGGGCAAAGTGCAGTACTGGAGGCACCAGGGAAGTGCCAGGCCCTGAAAGACCCAGTGCCCACAGTTTCAGCAGGGAAGATGCAGCTTTGAGAACTGGGGTGGCAGTGGACACTGGGTTGAGAGCAGCACAGCTTTCTGCTGTGCCCTTGGCCAATTCCAGGGCTCCGGTCCACTGGTTGGACTTGCAGGATTCTGAGAGTTGAAGTGCTTCTGCCTCCAAAAGGGTCTCAGTGGGGGCCTGGAGCCCGAGGTGGGCCACTGGGTGGCGCAGCACTCCTGGCTTGGTGGCGAACGACAATGGGCTGGTGGTGGAGGCCTGTGGGGAAGACAGAGGCCTGTGAACAGGCAGGGAGGCTGGGCCAGGCCCCACTGTCTATAGGAAGAGTTCTTCAGGAGCAGCCCCACAGGCAGGGCAAGAGGAGAGTCAGCCATGAGGCCGATGAGGGAGAAGCTTAAAGAGAGGCCAGAAGGGATGGTCAGGGAGATTGCCGGGGCTCTGCATTTTCAGAGGACCAGTGGGGGCGACTAGAGGCCACTGGGAAGTAGCAGAAACAAGGTAGACTCAGCAAGAGCCTGAAGCTGGGAAGACACCTCAGGCAGATTGGATATCAGAAAACAGAGGTCAAGGGACATCTGATGCCCCTGGGCAGAAGCAACTGCTGGAGCTCTTCGGAGGAGGGACCCTGAGGTGGGAGGCAAGGACAAAGGACACCTGGGCCCAGGAATGGAGCCTCTCAGCCTCAGCCATCAGAGGAAGTGGCCTGGTCCTGTCTGCTCTGGCAACTCCCTACCCCTTGGGTCTTAGTAGAAGCCAGGACAGCATTAGTGGGAGAGATACCACTCCCCTGAGGGCACATGCAGGGGATTAGCCACACTTCGCAGAGCATGGGGCATGCAAGGAGAGAAGTATGTCCCCATCACCACGAGGCTGCCAGAGGATGGTTTTACTTCATGCAGGGGAGGAGGTGCCTGTGGGTCCCAGCAGGAGTCCTGGGAGGTAGGCATGCAGAGGGGGCAGCTGTGGTGCCCAGTACCTGTCAAGGGCCCCAGCCTTGGGGGTTAACAGTTTGACTCATCATGGTGGGCTGCATCGCAGAAGAAGCGTGAGCCCCGCTTGGCAGTACGGGCCGTGAAAGGGACACTCTTCAGCACTGTGGCCCAGGAGAGAGACAGTGGTCAGGCCCCAGGGGGTAGGGTGAGAGGAGGGCCCAAAAGGGTAAGGTTTGGATTTGGGAGCTGGGCCCAGTGGCCAGGCCCCAGGGAGGGAAAAGGGCCCCACCTGTGATGATGTCCTCAATGGTACCATCCTTCCCCTCGTAAACAGGCCGGTGCTCCTTGGCCTGGCGCCGCCTCAACTCTGCAATTAACTCCTGCTGTTGCCACTTGTTCCGCTGGGATGGGGTCTAGGGCCGAGCATTTGAAGGGGTAGGGAGTCACCACTAACCTACGCTGGGGTTGGTTCCTGCCCCAAAATGCCGTCTGAGGATGCCCTTGATTGTGCATGGCAGCCTAGCCCCCATCATTGCCTAGGAATCCTCTCCCAAAGCTCCTCTCCCCATCCTTCTGGACTCCAGCCTCAGCCCCTCTGGGTGGTCCATGGGCTCCAGTTTTCCATCTCCTCTCAACTTCTCTGCTTCACCCCCTCCTAATCCTTTGCCCTGTTCTCCAGGCCCCAGCTCTTGGTCCCACCTACCTTGGCATCCAGTTTCTTGGCTTCCTGAGCCAGCTGCTTCTCCCGCATTACCTCCTCCTGCTTCTTGCGGGCTTCATTTTCTTGTTCTGCTTCCTAAGAACCGTTGGGGGGGCAGGGTGGTGAGGCTCACACAGGCTGTGAGGGGAGGGGCTGACACTGAGGGTGGAGAGTGGGTGGCAGTGGGACCAGCAACCCCAGGTGGCCACTCTCTGGAGGGGCATTTCCTGCCCAAAACAATGACAGGAAGGGCCTGGGCCCCCACCCTGCCCACCAGTTCACAGCTAAGAGGCCTGAGGCCAGCTTCCACGCTCCCTCCCAGGACTCAGAGGAGAAGACGGAAAAGGCCAGACTTCAAGTCCAGCCCTTTCTCCCCCACCAGTTTTCTCTCAGCCAAACTCCTCTTTAAAAGTCTCTCTTCCACTCACCTTGTAAGAACGAATGAATCGGACAAATACTGGGAAGAATACAGAAGGAGGTGTGGTCTTGGGACTCTCACCGAAGTAGCGCACAACTGCATTGTAGGCCTCCTGGGGAAGGGGTGGGCAGAAGGGGTCAGCCTGGCAGGGAAGGAGAAGCCCGGCTCCCCACCAGGGACAGGAGGCCCACAGAAAGCAGCCCCAGCCCGTGCCAGCTGGAAAAGAACCAGGCTCCCAAAGCTCCCTAGAGTGTATGTCTCCAGCGGCAGCGGCCTGCCACCCCCAACGTCCCCTGTCCTCCACATACAGCCAGCCAGCCACTTGATAAAAGTTCTCTGATCCAAGAACCAGGACTAAGCCCACCTAGAGGGACATAGTGCCTTGGCCCTGGCTGCTCCCACCCGCCTCCACCCTATGCTCGCCTCAGCTGTCTTGGCATCACGCTGGAGCTTGTCCAGTTTGCCTTCATTGGTGCTGAGGAAGTTCCGAAGGACGCTGTTGTCATGTATGCTGCACTCCCGCCGAATCAGCTCCATGCCCCGGCCCAACTCCTTCACATCTAGCAGCACGTTCTCCAGGGACACTGTGGTCACCAGAGCCTGGGCTGAGGCCCGCCCAGGGTCCAACATGCCCACCTCCCAGCCCAGGGCTACAGTGGACTCTGGCCCTCCCCCTCTGCACGGCTCACTCAGGTGGTCACACTGCTGCTTCCTGAGCCACCCACATTGACAGAGGGGCACAGTAAGCTAACCAGGCTCTCACAGGGGCAAAGGAAAAGGAATGAAGGTTGTGAGCTCATGACCCCAAAGAGCAAGGTAGCAAAGGAAGGCAAGCCAGAGAGATTGCTGGTCTCCAAACACAGCTGCCTCAGGCCTGCCCGTTTCCACGAGGCGGGCAGAAATAACAGCTACCTTATGTCTGTGGGGGCCTTTATGGTTTTTCTAAGCACTTCACATACATCATAGAGAAATGCAGTCTCTGGGGCCAGCCTGAGGGAGTTGGGAGTAAGGAGCCACTGCTGCCCTTCCTCTTCCTGCTCCCACTGCACCCAGGTGGGAAGGGCTGGGTTGGGCCTCGTGCCTGCAGGAAGGCTCCCTCTGAGGTGGCCCCTGCCCATGGCCCCAGCGGAAAGCTTTGAAGTGGTCAGAAAGAAGATAACAAGAGCCAGAAACGAAGGGACCCAAGTGTTCCCTCTGCTCATAGCTTTCTAGGATTGTTCTGGGCTGGACACGAGGGCAGGCTCGCTGGGCCAGGCTGCCCTCACCTGCTGCCGCCTTCTCCACAAAGTGCAGCTCGTGCCAGAAAGTAGCCAGGTCAGGGTATTTCTCCTTCACCGTCAAGGCAATGAAATGCAGCAGTGTCATCTTCCTGTCGGTGGACTTGGTGTCCAGCAGCTGGGAGAGGGGGTCAGGGGGCAATGTGAGAGGGGTGAACACCTTGGTTCCACAGCCGCTGTCCCTCAGGCTTCCTGGCCCATGTTGCCCCCGCCATCTTACCAGATCCAGGCTCTGGAGCTTGAAGCCGTACACAGCTCCCCGCTTGCTGCTGTTCATGTAATTCCCCAGAGCAAGTATGATCTGCCCAAAAGGTACATGGTAGGAGGTCAGGCCAAGCCCTGAGGGCTCCTTCCTCCTCTCTGTGTGGCCCCAGGCCCCCACCCAGCACCTGGGAACCACCAGCACCCCCATCCACAACCTCTCCCCACCTCCAACATCTGCTTCAGCTTCTGTGAGGACTTGACAGAGGCGGAGGCTGCAATGATGGCATTGAGTTGCTGAAAGGCAAGATGAAGAGCTGAGTAACCCCACGCCGAGATGGGGCAAAGTGAGTGAGGGGCTGGAAGGACTGGTAGGGCAGGGAGGTGACTAGCATGCGGAGGGGTAGCTGCAGACAACCGTGATTTGGGTGGAGGCTGTACCGGTGTGAGCATCTGCAGGTTGTCCTGGAAGTTGCCCAGGAAGGCCATGCCAGCCATTCGCTGGGTCAGCCGCTCCACCTTGCTGAAGAGCAGCATGAAGCGGTCCTCGGCCGCCAGCTCCTCGAGGGGCTGCCGCTCCCGCTCATACTGCCGCAGCAGCTTCACCTCGGCCTCTGTGGGCAGGAAGCGCATCAGGCACTCCACGAAATCCACTGGTAGTGTCTGTAGGTCAAACCTGCATAGGAGGGAGGAACCACCTCAGGTCTCTCATTTGTCCATGTTATCCATCATCCCTTTATCCTCCAGCTCCTAGAAGGACTGAGGGTGGGAGCTGTGAGCAGGATACAGCCAGAGGCAGAAGACTTGTTGCCTCATCTGTCATAGCACTAGTAACAGTCCTAGGGGAACAATCTATGCCCTGTTTAAAAACCCTTCAATGTCTTTCCTCTGTTCCTAGGGAGAAATCAACACCTGAGCCTGCCTTAGGAAGCCCAGCCTCCAAGACTTCTGCTCCCCTCCCTACCCTGTCTCTCCTACTCCCTTCCTTACACTAAAGCCACAGCCAATTTTCAGTATCTAGGACACCATGCTTCTCCCTCCAGACCCTGAACTGCACTTTATTTTTTTGTGAGGACGATTGGCCCTGAGCTAACATGCGTCACCAGTCCTCCTCTTTGCTTGAGGAAGAGTGGCTCTGAGCTGACATCTGTGCTAATCTTCCTCCATTTTGTATATGGGACGCCGCCACAGCTGGCTTGAGGAGTGGTGTGTAGGTCTGCACCCAGGATCCAAACCCACGAACCCTGGGTCACCGAAGCAGAGCGCTCAAACTTTACCACTACACCACCGGGCCAGCCCCCTGAACTGCACTTTAAATAAATACTTCCTTCAGGTCACAGGCAAGACATTGCCTCCTCTGGGAAGCCTTCCCTGATCACCAAGCTCAGCAACCTGGCCTTCCCTGTTCCAAAGCTGCCTATATCTCCGCCACATTGGTGGTTATCACCCAGTGTTACTGGACTATTCCCACTAGACTGGGAGCTCCTTGAGTGAAGGTCTGGGCTGAATCCCCAGCACCCACACAGTGCCTGCAAGAGCATGGAAGCAGTAAGTTCTGGCCAAGCCAGTGGATAACTGAGGCGTGTGAGGCAGTTCTGTCGATGCTCTAGAATCGAGGGAAGGCCAGGATCCTACATGGAGAATTAGGTTGCCCACTGGTTAGGAACCAGGGCCAGGTCAGTGGGAGCCTCACGTGTGGATAGCCCTGCAAATCTCCTCAGCTGAGCGGCCAGCCTTGCGTAGGGTGATGGCCAGGTTCTTGGCACGATTGGCTTCCAACAGGGTCACTTTGCTGGCAGCCTTTTGCGCTGTCTTGTTCTTGGAGCAGATGAGGTCGAGGGCAGGGCCCTGGGCTTTCGTCTTGAACAGTTCTTCAAACTTGTCCAGGTCCAGGTCCTGGCAGGAGATGACGAGAAGGGAAAAGGCTGTGGTCTCATATTACTAGAGGACCCCCTGGCAGCATGACCAGCATCGGCTCATCTCTAGTTCATGGAGGGCTGAGTCTGAGGGCTTTTCCAAGGCCAGGAGATCTGGCTACAAGGGCAACCTGGACCCCAGCCCCCAACCCCACCCCTCAGTTCCCCAGGCCCTGCTACCTCCAAGATCTTCTCATCATCAAGTTCGCTGAAGACGGTGCCACTGATCTGGTTGGGTTTCAGTGCTGTCCAGTTGAAGACAGGCAGCCGGAACTTGGTCTTGATAGGTTTCTTGATGCGAATGGCTGGTTTGGAAGGAGGATCAGTGAGGCAGGGGCCAAGGACACACTCCCTTGGCCCCACTAGCACAGCCCAGAGCCCTGAGAACACTCACCTGACAGGCCTACTGTCAACACCACAGAGGGAGCAGCGCCAGGGAGAGGTGGGGCTGGGGGACACTTGTCTGGAGGAAGAAAGGCATAGTGACCTAGGGGCCAAGAGACTCTTCAGAGTTGCCTCCCCTCTGCCCGCCCCACCTGTCCTTAAAGAATCTCAGAGTAGGAAGTTGCATGAACTCCCTGCCTGAGTGGCTCCCAGGGGGCCTAACTCTGACAGGGGCAGGTCTTGCTAGTCTCTGACCCACTCACTCCTGCTTTCGTCTAAGCCCTCTCCTCGGCTGTCTTCAGAGGGATCAAGAGCAGCATCTTTATGCTCCTTAAAACAGATCCATGTCTGCCCTTAGACATCCCTTGCCTAATAACTTGAGCCTTCCTCAGATTTTAGCCCTCCCTCAGCCCTCTCCCACCTGACTTTATATCCTTCCAGCCACATCCCCAGTTTCTCCCTGAGGAATACACTGCTGACTGGGGTTTTGGTTTGGCCCCACAATGAGGCTACCTCTCCCAGCTCCCAGGGTCCTGCTTACCTGGTAATGGGGGAGCTGGGGGGGGCAAGGGAGGAGCCGGTGGTGGAGGCAGAGGTAGGGCCTCCTCAGGGGGCGGGGCTGGAGCCAAGAGGTCCAGGTCGGAGGGTGGCATGCCCTCACTCAGCTCCGCAGGGCCTATCCGGGCCAGAGCCTCGCTGCCCACTGACTCCAGGCCCCGGGCACTGGGCTCCAAGTGGCATCGGCGCTGGAAGGCCTCCTCCTTCTCTTTAATGAGCCGCCGCAGAGTGTGTACCTGGTGGCTCGTGTTCTCGTAAGTCTCCTATCAGGCAGACAGCACAATTAAGGAGAGTGGGCTGAAGGCGCAGCAGTCATTGCCCCTAGGAAGAAGCCTTCATACCCAAGGGTCTCTCAACTAGGGTTTCTGGGAGGGTTATGAGACAGAGAGTGGCAGAAACCAAAGTGGGGACCAGGCAAAGCTGGAATGCAGCAGAACAAAAGAGGTGAGCAGAAGAGCTGGCCTGCCCAGCTGGAGCTCTGAAATGTCCTTCCTCTCTGCTTCAGCCTTAGTCTCACTGGTCTCTCAGGGCACAGGCAGAAGGCTGCCCCTGGAAAACCCCCTTGATCCACCAGCAGCCTACTAGGGCCGCTGTCAGCCCTCTGTACTTGGGACTGCTCTCATTATAGCCTTGTATAATCACTCAATTGGAAGCCCCCTAAGGACAAGACCCTGCCTTAGCCAGCTCTGTATCCTCCATACTCCCAATACAGTGCTTCAGACTGTTAGCAGGGGCTCCACAGATATATATTGAGCTCAACAGAGTAAGCATAATTGTATTCCATGGAAGAAAAGGTAAGTTGGGGGAGGATTTTACAATTAACAGAAAGTTAGGTGAGGGAGAGAGAAGACACTGAAATATGAGGATCCCCTGCTCTCTCAATTTAGGATACCTGGTGGATATCCTAATAAATAGTTCCGAGTACCTGGGCTACTCCAGGCATGCTCATTACGCAGGGCAGGGGGTGGCACGTGGAGGTGCAGGGGAGGGAAAAGCAATTGGACAGGCTGGTAGGAGGAGGCCTGGACTCCAGAGGTGCCTGCAGATGCCCCATCTGCTCCCACCCTCTTCTGCGTGTGTCTAGACCACTCTGGCTTCAGCTTCCCTCTCCAACTAAAAAATGGGGTGTAATCATCGGGCTACCCTCATCTGAGTGCCTCAAGGGTGAATCAAGATCTGGATTCATGAGGACTTGCCATAACTCAGGAAAGAAAGCAAGATCCCCAGGCGCCCAGTACCAGTCAGGGACTCCATTCCCCAATTACTTGGTACCTTGATACTCTCCAGTTCCTTCTCCCGCTGCAGCAGCTGTTTCTCTAGCTCTGCCACACGCATCATATTCTCATTCTCTAGGTCCAGAAGCTTCTCTGTGAGCTGCAACATGGGAAAGGCAGGTTCAGCTCAGGGCTGGCCCTAAAGCCTGGGCACTCAGCATAGCCTGAACCCATCAGGCCCCAGGCCCCAAAGGCAGCTTGGCCTTGTGGCTTCCCTACATCACTCCTGTGGGCCCAGGGCCTGAGATCAATTGAAATAGATACAAGACAAATGACCACCTCTGACTCTCTCGAGCCTGAGGCCACCTCACGCCTAGCCATGGAGGTCAGTGTGTGTTCTGATCTATGGATGATCCGGTGCCTCAGCCAGAGCGGAGCATGCTCTAGAGAGCCTTGGTGGGTTCTAAGGCTTCCCTCAGGCTCACTCTGGAGGCAAGTGGGTCAGTTTAGGATTCCTGGAACTCAGATGTCCTCATCCTCTCCCCACCCTCAACAGTGGTTCTGGCAGCAAAGGAAGATCACTTACGTGGGACACATGCTCCTCCAGCTCCTCCACCTTCTCCAGGGCCACATTCTTGGTCTCGGCATCCTCCAACAAACCCCCCACATCAAACACGTTGTCCAGGTATGCCTGGATCTGCACCTGCAGCTTCTCGCTCTCTGTGTGCCTTGACTTCTGGGGAAAAGCAGAGAGGGTAGTAGTTGGGGGGCCTCCTGAGAAAGACTTAGTCCTCATCACCCTCCACGACCACTTCCTTGAGCACAAGATCCAGGGAGTTCCCACTATGGCTGTGCCAGATTCTCGCCCCATGGAGCTGCCTGACTGGGGAGCCCTCTGCAGGAGGCCTGAGTCCCAGGCAATAAAGACAGGTAAGCTTCCAGGAGCATCGAAGACTAGGCTCTTGTGAAAGAAAAACCCTTTGTGCTATGGCTAAGCTGGTCCTCTAGGACTCTAGCCCAGCTCACCTGCAGGAACTCCTCCAGCCCCAGCTTGGTAAATTCATACTGCAGGTGGACCCGGAAGTTCATATCCTCCACCGAATGCACCACGATGTTGATAAACTGCATGCAGGCCACCTGGAGAAGCAGCAGCCCAGAGGGGCAGAGACAGGCAGGGCAAGGAGAGACCCAAGAGACAAGGAGGGTAGGCAGCTGTTAGAACCATCATCACCAGGTGGATAATCAAAAAGAGTGAATTAAAATAATTAAGTCTTTCTGGGAGCAATAAGAGTATTTTAACTTAAAAAAATGTTAAACTTAATATTCAGTGTATGAAGACAAGTAAATTACATGAGAAATAGATGTAAATGAAGATACAGCTCTCTAATTTCTTCTGCACATCAGCAGGTATTTCTTGAGACAGCTCTACTTAGTTGAAGACTCTACACTAAAGGGAAGAGAAGCTGGAGGAAGAGTTTGGGAAAACGAAAGTAGCTCAGAGAGGACCCAAATCAGGGATGGTAAGGCCACAAAAAGGGGGAAAGGAGGTAGATCTGAGACACACAAATGACATTGTCCTCAAGTTTCTAAAAGCTCTCCGGGGTGGGCATGTGGACAAGGAGCATTTATGGAGTAGAGACAATCATTCTAGGTTCTATACAGAATATCAGAATACGCTGTCTGCCTGGTCCCTGTTCTCAAGGAGCATGTGGCCCTGCTGGGCATGTGCCTGACCCAGGCCCAGTTCCTCACCATGAAGTCGATGTTGCTGTCCTCATTCCGGAAATACTCCATCAGCTTCTCAAAGCGGTGCAGCTCCTTGCATACCTGAACATGCAAACTTTCTCAGTAAAAAGATCTGTCCCAGGCAGAACCCAAGCCCCTGAGCCCTGGCTCCCAGGAACATCACAGCAAAGGGACTGGTTCAGACCAAGTTTAACCACAACTCGCTATGCGATGGGCCATTCAGGACACAACAGAAGAAACCCTGGGACCTGACATGGGCCCTGGGTCCCTGGTCCCCCACCAACTTGCTGAGGGAGCTCAGTAAAGCCTGTGCTCTTAGTCTGGGCTTTAAGTGCTTCTGAGGATAGGCCAAGAAGAAACACAGGGGTCTGGTGTTGCCGAGTTATTGAAGGAAGGAGGGAGGTTGGAGGCCGTGGCTCAGGCAGGAGGCTGAGGTCCTAGTAAGGATGCAGGAGAAAGGCCAACGTGCAGGAAAGCCCCTGTGCTGAGGGGGATCCAGAGACCCCTCTGAGACTCTGGCTTCAAGGAGGAAAAGCCATTTCCTGGCTTGAACAATGGATGCTAGGGAAGAGGTCCAAAGAGGAGGAAGGGGTGGAACTAGCAGCTGCGGCTGGATGTCGAGGAATCCTATGTTCAAGCAGATGGGGGTTTCAGAGCCAGGCCCAGAGGCTGGGGAAATTCCAAGTAGGAGCTCCCTCTCCCCTCACCAATAACAGCCAACAACCCAGGAGGATCCTTGCTTGCCTTCTCCTCCCACTGCAAACACATCTGCCTTGGGTGCTACCAGTGGGTTCACTGCCTCAGAACCACCCGGGGAGCCTGTTAAAGCACAAACACCTAGGCATCCCAGGGGTCTGCACATTTAACAAGCTCTTCAGGTATTCTAATGCCTGACTAGGTTAGGACCCCTGGACGATAGCCCTCAGCTATCTGAGGGCATCCTGATCTAGCCAATCAGGAGCTTTCCTGGCACAAGATCTGGTAAGACTGAAGTTCTGGTTTTGGTAAAAAAAAAAAATGGCAGGGGGGGCAGGCTTAGCTAAAGCACTGGGATGTTAAATCACTGGGATGTGTGAGATCGCAGGAAAGGTGCTCACCTACCTGGCTCCCACCTCCTCCCCACCAAATACACACACACACACATGAATGCAGGAGACTGACCTCTTTGAAATTGTCAAAGGCAGCAAGAATGATTTCGTGACCTCCCCGCACCAAACACACGGCTGCCAGGAGCTCCAAGACAAGGGCTTTGGTCCTAAGGGGTGAAGAAGGAAGATTAACACCCTAGCTCCCCACCCTGGCCACCACAGCTCACTTCCACAACTGGGTGACTCCTTTCAGAGAGTAGAGACAGCCTCGGTGGTGAGAGGAGAGAGTGGGTTTGGGAAAGAGGCAGTGGCAGGAAGGCCTGCTCCCTCACCAAGCTGTGCAGACCAGAGGGAAGCCAGGGATACTTCTCCTCCAGCAGAGGTGAGAGAGCCAAACCAAGGCACTGACCCAGGCCACAGGACCCCAAGGCCAAGCAGGGCTTCTTATCCGGGATGAGTGGAGCCCGGATCTCCAGAACCTGGGGCAGAATGGGGAGGAAAGGGGAGGGAAGGGACTCACCTTGGATTCTTGTTGTTGAGACTGAGCGCAATTTCGTTGACAGCATGGGGGTGGGACATGACCAGGTTGAATCCATACTGTAGCAAGGGAAAGGACAGACGGAGGGGAGACCTTGCTGGTGAGGAAGGCAGATCCCAGCCCGATCTCCTTGACTGCAGGCCCACCAGCACACTTGTCTTCTATAAGCTGATGCCCTCCTAGCTCTCCTGGTTTGGCAGGTGAGGCAGAAGAGGCAGAGGAGCCATGGCTAGTGCTGCCCCCTTACCTGATAGTTCATGATGGCTCTGAGACAGAGAATACAGACATGGACATCATCCTTCTGGCTCACGAGGCGGGAGTTCTTCAGGGCCCTGCGCCCAGGGAGAGTGCTATACCTGGGGGAGAGGGGGGCTGCTGGTGAAGGGTCCAGGAGTGCTCACATCACCCAGAGAGCAGGATGCCCCTGAGCAGCAGCAGAAAAGTGGGAAAGTGGCCTTGCACCACCAGCCCAGAGAGAGAGGGTGCAGGAGGCAGGGTGCTCAGCTGTTTCACCTCCTTGGAACAGGTCTTTGTCAGTAAGTACCCAGGATCCCAGCTTTATAATAAGCGCCCAAACCATCCTCAGCCCAGAGATCCTCCAAAATACAACAGTAGATGTGCAGGCCTTCCTAGTCCTTGAGATGAGTCCAGGGAGACATTCGTTTGGGTCTTCCCTCCTCCTCCTTCCAGTTGCTGCATCTTCCACATATTCCCTGGGGCACGAGCATGTTGGCTCCTATCCTAGTTCTATATCCCAGAAAAGGCAGAGCAGACCCCAAAGGCTTTAGGAGAGCCAGGGGCTACATCTGGTTTGCAGTCCCCCAGTGATGTTTCATGAAAGAAAGAGGAAACACAAATGGTGTCTGCTCATGCATAACTAGGATGAGGAGCGGTGTCAGGGGGATAAAACCCAAAGGAGACGAGGAGAAAAGCATGGCCATGGGAGATGAGACCACAGGAAGGGCCACAGGAGCCAGAGGAAAGCCTCCCAGGGTAGGAGGGGCTCTGAGAAGTCAACTGGTCCATCCACCTGCCTCCGGGCAGGACGGCTCTTAAGATACTGCAGACAAATGAACACGTGGCAGCCTCGAAGGGAAAAGGCCTAAAGGGAGAAGTGAAGGGAAGGCGAGCAGCGGGCAGGCTGGGTGGGAGCTGGTCTCCGAGCAGCTGATGGGGCAAAGTGGAGATCCAGAGGGACACAGACATGAGGGCAGGAGCTGGATCACTCGGTGAAGACCAAAGAGCTGGGTGAGAACAAGCCCTGCCCGAGAGGCTGGGAGGAATGGCAGAGTGAGAATAAGAAATGGAGGGGCCCCCAGAGAGGGGGTGAGGAGAGGGGAAAGCTGGAACCCCAGATGGGGTGGGCACAGCCGAGGTGATGTACTTACCCAGGACAGATCGCTGGGCAGAGTCAAGGAGACAGAGAAGACAGACCAGAGACAGACTGGCAGGCAGAGGGCAAGAGAGCTGAGCCTGGAAGCAAGAGTGGAGGGAGGAGCATGAGCACTCAGCGCTGTTACCCAAGGCCTGGACTGGGGCTAGGATGGGAGGCAGCGGGCAGAGCGAGAGCACATACCGGAGCACAGACTGGCGCGCGGAGCGAGCGAGGCTGTTGGTGAAGGGGGCTGACAGGGCGCTGGGTGGCTGCAGGTCCTCGATGGACCTGCTCCAGGACCGGAGCTTGTCAAATGCACCATCGTCACCACTCTCCAGACCCTCAAAGTCAAACCTGGAGCAGGAAAGGACACACAAGCGCACACACAGGAGAAATTCAGTGCCAAGCCCCCTGGCAAGCCCGCTCCTGCCCTTTAGACCTCGAGGACAACAAGCAAGGGCAGCAAGAAGAGAAAGCAGAACTGGGCAGCAGAGACCCAACCCTGGTCGGGAGAGCCACCGACACAGGACAAGGGCAGAGCAGGCACAGGCAGCAACCAGGAGGGAGATCTGAGAAGACGGGAATGCTGACGGAGGCCAGCTACTGCTCCCACTGGCCAGGCGATTCCAGGAGTGACCTCTCCATGGACCCACAGGGATGCAGGGAGCTGGTAGTCCTCCTGCACTCTCAGCCTTAGGTGGGACATCTCAGAGAAGCTGTGGCTCCCCATGGAGAATCTGCCCCATGGAGGGTAGTGGAGAACAGGCCAACTACAAGTCTTGCTAGTTGCCAAATGGCAGTAGCCAAAGGGGGCCTCTCAGTGCCCTGCGGGGATGCGGTCAATTCTGGATTGGGCTCATGAGGGCAGGTCTGACTGGAAGAGAATGGGTGTCCTGGCAAACCCAGAGAGGGACAGTCCTCTATGCTCAGGAGGAGCACCACGGTCCCATCCTAGCACTGGGTTTTAATGACTGGGTTTTCTGTGGTTCTACTTGAGGCTTCTAGGTTTTTCTGGTATAGAGGCTCCTTCAGCTTCCCTAGTGGAAGAAATCACACGTCAACAGTGTAGACTGGGGTCCTTAGTCCATAGGAGTCCCAGGATTCTGTAGGGGGTCCCAACACCTTAGGAGTTGGGATGGTTTCTCTGTTTGTCACTTTTTGCACCTAGGACCAGATATCTCCCACCATCAGCAGTTTGTGAGTGTGGCCAGGGCAAGGAGGACAGCTCAAGATCACAAACCCACGGGGCCTTCTCCCTTACATATCCCCACATCGGGATATACCCGCTCTGAAAAACAAGGCCCACTCCTCTTTCCTGTCCACTTCCCCCCGTAGGTCACTAAGGACTGGGCAAGCATCTCCCACAGTCTCTTGCCCACAAGGAGGCTTCTGCTCGGACATGCACAGCCCTGGGGTCAAAGGCACAGAGGCTGAGGCTTTCTGAAATAGGAAGTGATTATCTGCAGATGCCTGAATGTTCCAAAGGAAGCAGGAGCAGGCTTCAGAGTCCTGAGGATCAGATCTTTAATGGGACTCTCAAGTAGACATCAGAGGAGTCTCGCTGACAGGGAAACAGCTTGCCAGTGGCTTCCCTCCATCAATAATAGTATCCCTAGCACTGGTACATGCAGTTTACAAATAAATGCCTTCACGCAAACTCTATTTGGCTTCACCCTTTTCCTCTCAACTCTTCCCCAAAACACACACTCTCTCCCCTCCATCCCCTGCTTGAGTGTTTCTCTTAAAAACAGAGTCAAAGGCACTGCGCTGGACACTACAAAACTGAGGTTCCAGTGTATTTTGGTTTAGAGCAGCTGGGATTTGTTTGCTTTTCAAATGAGGTAGGCTTATTTGGAAAAATGAAATACATCTTTTTACTATAAAAGCTCTGAATTTTAAAAAAATCACTTCAGCAAATGTTTTTCATTTCTTTCTATAAAAAGAGTGGTTTTTAAAGGGATAGGAGGATCACGAGGCACGACATCTACAGGGACGTGCATGGGGAGTGGGCCACTCTTGGTCTTAACAGGGGATGACCCAGAAAAGGTGACAGAGAGGCCAAACCTAGGAGAGGCGTTAGTTCACACACCTAAGGAGATGAGACTGAAGACCTGCTGGACAAAGAAGAACGGCCAGGGGGCAAGGACAGTAGAAAGAAAAGTGAAAGTCAAGGCTAGGGCTGAGTCCTGAGACTGGGGAGTTCCCCAGGACTCCGGACCTTCAGTGCTAAAACTGGGGAAATTCATGGGCAAACCAGGACAACTGGTCACCCTAGGGCTGACTTAAGTCTTGGGTATAAATCTGAGTGTGTTGGCCATCTCGTGAATGATCTATACTCCCTCTTTCCATAGAGTCAGGTAATTATGGTAGGGACACCACCTTGAATACTAATAATTAACAAGTAAGCAGCTACCACAGTACAGACTTAGTACGTTCCAAACACTACCAAGTGCTTTACACACATTATCATCTAATCCTTACAACAGCCCTGGATCCCCTTTTATATAAGAGGATGCAAACTTGCCTGAGGTCGCACAGACAGTAAAGAACAGAACTGAGACCCACAGCCAGCTTGTCATATTAAAGCCCACGTTCTTTCCACTACCCTACACTGCCTTCTCATCTGGCTGCCTCCAAGCCCCCAAGCTGCTTGACCCAGTCTCCAGAATGCTTCATTTTCAGTCTGGGTCAAAGGTCATGCTCACTGCTCCTGGGGCTCTTCAGCAATGACCTGGAGTAACCGTTTCATATCTGGAGACCCAAAGGAGCTTCTTGAAGATTCAACTCTCCAAAGGCAAATGAATCCCACCAGGCATCTCTCCCAGAAGCCAGGACACTTCCTTGGACTGCTCCCAGCTGGGAGTCTGGATCCTTTGAGTTCTGATTCTGAGCTCCCTTTCCCTTTCTCTCTCCTCCTGCTTCCCAAAATGCACCTTCTACTCCAGCCACCTGGCATTCCTCACTGATCCCAGACATCCCCTTGGCTCCCTGTCCACTCCCACACCACTACCTGGGCTCCTCCCTCCTGGCCTGGGATTCCCATTCCCATCTTCACTATTGCAATCTCACCCTTTCTCATCAAATCAGAATGGGACTGTGTACTCACTCACTGGTCCCCAACCCTAGCCCCAAGGTGGTACTCACATGACAGAACATTGGGCAAAGGACAGGTAATCCACCAGCACGTCCAGGCCTTTGTTTTCATCATTCAGAAATTCCCGTACCCACCTGCAGATAAAGGAAACATAGTGGAGGGGTCTGCTAAGTGGGTTGAGGGGGAAGCGAGTGAGGGGCCTATGACCCAACAACACCCTCTCCTAGATCCTCTGGAACTTAGCACCAGGCTGGGAAAATTCTGAAGATCAAAATCCGTGGCAGACCCATCCATAATCATATCACTGGCCTGGACCTCCCTTAGGTAGAGAGCCAGGGATGGGGAAAGGTACAGGCCTTCCAATACCACATCAGCCAAACAAGCTTTCTGGAATCCTCTCCTAAAGGGCCAAGGCCCTGGCTCAATCATTTTCTGTTTCCTTGGTGTCTAGCACAAGGCTGGGCTCACTGTCCTTGCGCAATGTTTGACGGAAGAATTAGGGGATTATCAAGAGCATTTACCGCAGCCCTTGTGCAAAGCTGTGCCTGACAGAGGCCAGCAGGTCCCCAATTTGACCAAAGTCTGTCAAAAGACAGGCAGGAAAGGTCAGAGAGCTCTGAAACCAAGGCATGTTGGGCCAAAGGGCTCTCCACCAAGTTCAAGAAAAGGTATTTTGGGACATAGTGAGCAAAGAGAGATACGTGGGAGTTCTCTGTTTGGTCGGGGTGAGTTTGGCAGAACAGGAAAAGGATGGGGGAACAGTCAGGAATTCAAGTAATTCCAGAATAGCTATAACCACTCAGAGCCAGACTGAGGACTCAGGCCCCTTCAGCCAGGGAGGCAGGAGGCTGGACTGCAGGCACCCTAAAGACAATGGGCCAGGGTATTTCTGCCCTTCTGCCTTCAGGCCTTTTAGGCTGAGATAACCCGGGAAGGAAAGTGAAGAGCGAGTCCCAGGAGGACTATTAGAGGACAGGTTCATTCCCAGCACAGAGACATGAAACTCTGGGGTTGAAACCCTGACTCTCCTGAGTGCTCTGCTCCCTCGGAACGTCCAGGGGTCTATATACACCAGCTGCGCCAAACAGCCCCGCAGGGCCGCCTCGCCCCCACATCTGGAACACCAGTGCCATGTTTGCCGGCCACACCCCGGGCTACAGAGAGAGGCTGGGCCGGAACACCAGGCCCGGCTGCGATCTGGCAGCAGGCTCCGGCTGTGGCTGACTGACACCAGAGCTGCCTGAAGTTAGCTTCCTCTCTGGGGGCCGACAGGCCTCCCATTTCCTGTCTGTCTGCGCTCCAGCTCCCCACCCCCTTCTCATTTCCTGTCTGAGTCTACACTGCTATTTTCGGGATCTTGACACTGTGAGGAGAGGTTAAAGGGCACTTAGGCAAGGCCGAGAAACCAATACAAATCAGGGAGAGGAGGAGCTAGAGAAGCTCTGGAATCCCACTTCCCAGCCCGCTGCTCCAGGGCCTGAGATCCCATTTGGCTGCCCCTGCACACCCAGGTTCTGCAGGCCCTGGGGCCCATCAGGCTGTGGCGGAAGCAGGATCCTTCTCCCCGCACTTTGCCCTGGGCTCCTACCACCCTGGAGCACCCACACCCTAGCCTGATGGCCTGACAAACTCTCCTGCCCAGAAATCCGGAAAGGATCCTGGCCCTCCCACGTAACTCTACCCAGAGAAGCCACAGTTCAGATGACAGGAGCTCCTAAAATGCCAGACACTAAGCTGCTCCCTGGGAACCAAGGGCCAGGTCCAGACCTCTAACTTGTGTGCCAACTGCCAAGAGGCCTTGGGCCTGGGAACCATGCTGCTCTAGGCCCAGTGCTTGGCCAGTGGCCAGAGGGGCAGGCACCAGGTAGAAGGGGCGGGCAGAGGGAACTGTCACACACCGCTCTGTGGCCCCCTCCCTAGAAGACCCCCTCCTCATGCAGGAAGACCTAATAAGGAAGACAGGAGGGCCTGAGAGAGAGGAAAAGAGGGAAGGAAGGCCCTGTAGGGGAGTGCAGGGTGGTCCTGGTATTTGGACCTGTCATCTGGGTCACTCTTGTCCTCACACACAGAGTCGCTGATGAGGCCCTGCCGGGTTTTCCTTCTGTGAGGATTCACCAAATAAAGCTGGAGACTTAGTCACATACTTCCTAGCGGGTCAGCTTTCAATGTCTGGTTCACAAATGAAGTGTGGAAGCCAACTCTGGCCACCAAGTACAGCTACTGAGGCCAGGAACTGTCCCTTTCCTGTTCTCTCCTATGCCACTTCCCCTGTGACTGCTGCTGCCACAGCTGGCTACACACACAGGTATAAGAGCCCTGGGGAGGCTCAGCCCAGGGGGGTGGACAAGTGGGCGGCTGCCACGGATGGTGGAGGAGGCAGATGATGTCATTTGGCTTTTTCTACCCCTGCTCTCAGGAAGCCCAGGACCCTGGGGCTGGCAACTGCCCAGCAACCCCCACCCCCACCCCAGGCTTGACTTCTCACTCGTGTAAGCTCTCAACATTCGTGCCAGGCCCTCTGTCAGGACTGCAGCCCTGCCAACAGTTCTCCATCAGGTGTTTCTCACTGTCCTTTGTGTACACACACTCTCTCTCCCTCCCTCCCTCTCTCTTGCTTTCACTACATATGCTCTGGCTGGTTACGATTCTATAAAACTGAGAACACTGCCATCTTTCACTTTACCTCACAAGTTAGCCCTCTGCCTGTTCAGCAAGTCCTCATCCCCCACTCATAGACTGGAAAAAAAAACGCATGCAGTTCCTAGGGACCCTGTCCATGGGCTGGCAGTGCCAGGGTCTGTGAATAGAGAAGACATTCAACTCCTGGCCCCACTGCCTTAGATCCTTCCTGGTGCTTTAGGAAGCTGCTTCTGCTCATGAACTAAGATTATTTTACAATCAAGCAAATAATCTTCTGGGCACCAAATAGCCCAGGAACTAGGTCTCAGCTACCCAATGCAATATGCTCCCCATCCCCAGCCTTCTCTGGGCCTCCTTGGCCCAGCCCCAGGCCACAGGCATACTCCAGTCCCAGCTGCTATGGGAATGTCTTCCACTCAAAGCCACAGGCTGAGGACCCCAGGAGAGGCCCCAAGCTTGCCAGCAGCATCCAGTCAGCAGCTGGCAGAGCTGAGGGGAAGAAAAGCCAGAAAAGGAACAGTCTGAAGCTCTGGGGAACCAAAGCCATTTAAGGGGCAACTCTGCCCCCTGGCAGGGAGATAAACAGGCAAACCATCCTCAGGGGACACCAGATCCTGAGTGGCCAGGTGAAGAGGCTCTGACGGCCAAATCTGACTCACCCGATGTGGTTGGTACGAAGTGAGATCTCCAGTTCCCTCAGCACTTTGGTTGACTCCTGCACTCTCCTCCTGAACTTCTGTAAACATGGAATTTTCTGTCACTGATGGAGAACCCCCCCAATCCCATCTTACAGTATAAACAAAAGAGGTAGTAAAGGAAAGGGAAACTATACAAGAGGGAAGGTATAGGCCTTCCCTCTGTTATTAACCAGCCACGCCAGGCCCAGAGCCTCGAAACCCAGAAATCCAACTCTCAGCGCTCAGAAGAAAAGCCCCACCCCAAGTCAAAGGATTTGCCCCAAACCCCACAGGACTATAAAGGGCAGCAAGATGGGGCCTCCCTGCCTCACACTTCACCTTCCGAGTTACGCTGGGGTCCAAGAAGCTCTGGAGTTTCTGGATATAAGTGTGAGGAGGATTCTTCACCTGGAATCGTTCCTGTAAGGGAAACACGCGTGTGTGCACACAGACACCCAGAGTCCTGAGGAGAGTGTTGAGGAAGTAGAGCACTCATGGTGGTCGATGTGAGGAGACCCAGCCTCCTAAAGTTGTGTCACCTGGCCCTTAACATCACCCAAATTGTAGCTTCCCTTCCTTGACTTACCTTCAGGTGCTTCCCATCTGTTGCGATCCTCACCCTCCTCCAATTAATGCTCCCTGAGCCTGTAAGATTTTTCTTTGTCAAAAATTATTTTAAGAGTCTGCTGCTGGGCCGGCCCCGTGGCTTAGCGGTTAAGTGCGCGCGCTCCGCTACTGGCGGCCTGGGTTCGGATCCTGGGCGTGCACCGATGCAACGCTTCTCCGGCCATGCTGAGGCCGCATTCCACATACAGCAACTGGAAGGATGTGCAACTATGACACACAACTATCTATTGGGGCTTTGAGGGGGGAAGGAGGAGGATTGGCAATAGATGTTAGCTCAGGGCCGGTCTTCCTCAGCAAAAGGAGGAGGATTAGCACGGATATTAGCTCAGGGCTGATCTTCCTCACAAAAAATAAATTAATTAATTAATTAAAAAAGAAAACTTTGAAAAAAAAAAAAGTCTGCTGCTTGCTAAGAAGATGAGGAGATTACAGAGCTGTGAACAGCACCCAAAATAAAGATACAACTGGGAAATGTTCACTGCCTAGCTAACTGATGGACGGACGTTAGGAAAGCCAAGGGGAGGGGAGCTAGGCCTTCTAGAATCCAGCGTTCTCAACCCTGAACTCGTAAGTTGGGACTGGACTGGTTTTGCAGCATTAACACAGCTCAGAGCTGGAAACACACTTTCTGCTCCGTGCCCAGGCCCCAGGCCCCAACAATCCAAAGCAGCCTCAATGCTGAAGCCTGCTTTCAGCAAGGTCTTCCCTCGATCCCCTTCCACATCGGGCACAGGACCACGCCCTCCCCATTTTGGTCCATCCCCCTCATCTGACCCAAGGGGAAACTCAGGGAAATTCTGGTCCTGTAAGGGCCTTCACAACTGAGATATATGAAGAGCTGGGGGGGTGGGGAAAGGGTCTAGAAGAACGATATGTTAGGAAATAGAACCTAAAAATAAAATGAAAGAAAAAAAGAAAGGTTTGAGAAAGAGCTGAAATTAGGTGACCTAGAAAAGACCATGAGATTATCAATTAAAGAAACTTAGTACCAAAGGGCTACTGTTCTCCAAACCCCAAGAAGGTACTCACCATGCTTACCCACTCCTCTTTTTTTTTTTGGTGAGGAAGGCTAGCCCTGAGCCAACATCTGTTGCCAATCCTCCTCTTTTTTTGCTGAGAAAGATTGGCCCTGAGCTAACATCTGTGCCCATCTTCCTCTATTTTATGTGGGACGCCTGCCACAGCATGGCTTGATAAGCAGTGCATAGGTCTGCGCCCGGGGTCAAAGCCGCGAGCCCTGGGCCGCCGAAGCAGAGCACGCAAACTTAACCACTACGCCACCAGGTCGGCCCCTCACCCACTCCTCTTAATGCAGAAGACGAGGAAACAGGCCTTCCCTAGAGAGGAAGGGACCTAGACCAACCTCTCTGAAACCTAACTCTACCTTAGGTCAAGCAGCATGACTTGGGAGGCAATGGAGCATAATAGTTAGCACAGATGGAGTCAACTGCCTGAGCCCTGGCTCCATCACTCTGGCTCCATCACCTCCCAGTGTCAGGCAAGGTGCTGAGCCTTGGGTTCTTCATCTATACAACATAACAGTGCCTTCCTCAGAGGGCTTTTGTGAAGATTTAATGAGATATTTCAGTATACGTAAAGTGCTTGGTCCCTAATAAGCATTCAATAAATGTTAGCTATCACAATATTGTTCAGTGCTTGAAAAGAAATAATAAATTTGTTCATGACAAAGCTCCATCACAAAGTGCTGTGTAAACACACTGCCTACACTCTGTGCCAGGTGCTTCCCACCTCCCAAGATGTAAGGAAGTAAAAGCTGACGCTCCTAGCCATGCAGACAGCCCTGTCTGAGTTCAGAAACTCATGACTTGTGATCTTCAAATGTGTGCAGGGGAAAGAGCCAGACTGTAGGTGTTAGTTCTCGATTCTGAGCTAAGTAATAATCTCTATATTCTCTTCCAGCTCTTAAACACTATTCATGTACAGAGAGCTTCCAGTCCTCATGTTCTGAGATTTGGGAACCGAAGACTAGAGGACTGGGGCTTCTCATTCCTAGAAGCTTGTAAATAACGAGAAAAACTCTGCTATTTGCAGAATGAGAGCTAAACAGTCCTTTGGATTCCCTGCCAGGCACAGCTCTCACGCTGGGGAATGGCAGAAAGAGGCTCTGCTGGGAAAACTACCAAACTCCTCCACAGCTGACCCTATACCCCAGACCTACACAAACCTCCTTCAGGCCACTGCCCATTGGGAAGAAATCAAGACAGCTCTTTGCAGGAGCTAAGGGGAACTTGGCCTACCAGCCCTGTGTGTTAGGAGAGTCCTCTTGGAACAGGAAGTGAGCATGGACTGAGGCCAAGTCCAGGCCAGGGTTCCCCAAGGGGCCGCAGGGTTGCAGTCAATGCCTTCGGCCCTCCTGCCTTGTCTAGCCCAAGACACAACCTCCACTCCCAGCCCTGCCCCAAACCTCATACCTGGTCACAGATCAGATCCCACTTCTTCTCATTGTCATACTGCCGCAGGAGCCGGGCCTTGTCAGGAGGCAGGTTCATGGAGCTCTGAGGAGAGAACTCGAGTCAACAGGGCTAAAAGCTCCCCCAACCCTGAGGAGAGAAAAGCTAGACTACACACACCTTTCCCCTCCTGGACCCTCGGGCTTCACCCGGACACTCTATTCACCGATAAGGAAGGTACAGAGGTAGGACAGTCCTCCTGCCTCCCCTTCAGATGTAGTTGAGTTTGGTTGAGCAACGTTTTCCAAACCATACGTTGTGGAATCAATTTAGTGAGTCAAGATTAACTTTATTTTAAATGAAAATAAATAGATTAAAATAGAATAGGAGAGAAGATATCAGAATTCATTGCAAGTAGGAAGTATAATGTTTCATGAAGCTTTTGTTTCTTTTACATTTCATATATATACATACACACACACGTAGGTCATGCTATAAAATGTGTTTAACATGGGACAGGTCAAAAAAGTTTGAAAGTCACTAGTCTAAAGCAGCAACTTGTCAATCTGCTTTTCCCCCATGGCCTGAGAGATGGGTGGCTTTCCTGCACCATGCGTGCCCATGGGTGAATCTTGAGCCACCCACAGCCTGTGTAGACGCTACAACTCTACCCCCTTTTCTCGTATCAGGATGCAAGTGAATGAGAAGGACATTGTATAAAGAAAATCACTCAAATTCTTTTAGGAAATAATTTACAAAATTTCAGTACTTTAATTATTAGTAGTAAATTACTTATGACACACACATCTCCCAATTAATTAAGACACAGTAAAATGTCCTGACCCCTTGTAGAGACACTCTAACCTAGAATATAAAAGAACAGACCAGGAGACATCTTATTTTGTTCACCACTGTTTGCTGAATGAATAAACGAATAAAAGTGTGAGTGAGTGAGCAAGTGAAGCCCAAGGCAATCGTGGACTAGCCCCACTCAGGCCAGCAGCCATGCCTTCCCTCCTTTACCCTGTCCAGCCAAGCCTCTCCTCTATGCAGTCTGGCTGCCTCTGTCGCAGTCACAGCCCTTGCTGCAGTCACAGTCAGATCACTGCACCTGCTCCCACCCCACTCCTGAGTCGAATATGATCTCCCATCTGGAGTATCACACCTGCCTGATAAGCCACGTGGCTCTCACAAATCCAGCCTCTTCCCCACACACTGCGGGCCACCTGGAGGGACTGCCTCTCCACTTTCTCTCCTTTACTTGCTGCTCTGAGCTCAGCTCTAACTCCCTCGCAACCCAAGCATGACCACTTGGTTTACCTCTGCCCACTCCTTGACATCTTATCCCTGGGGACATGAATTGTGTGTGCCCAGGGTCCTGAGGAGTCACACAGGCCCTGTATTACTCCAGAAGAAGCAGGAGTATACTGGGAGTGGGCCCTCCGTTTTCTAAGAAACTGAAAGAAAATCCTTAAGCATCCTTTATTTCTGTTACATGTATCTATTTTACTATGCATTTATGTACACACATACTATAAACTAGCTGTACACTCATCTAGCCCCTGAAGGACTATCTATTCACATGGTCTCCAACCCCCACTAATGTCTAATACTGTGACAGGCACCTAGTGGAGAGTAAGCTGCTAGTAAAACTAGGGTTAAGATGTCCCAGTTCCAGCTATGGGCCCAGCTCCTGGCTGGAAACAGGGTCACTATGGCTCAAAAAAGGAAGTAGGGTTGGGATCTCTGGTCAGCATTTAGAAATGGAAGGATTTAGGAATATAGAAGTGGGGCAGGAGACAGAAGAAAAGCAGAGGAAGAGACCACGACAATACACCTCTCCCCATGGTTTCTGCTGCCCCATGAATCTGCCTGAGCTTCCACAGGAAAGAGGGGCTAACTGAATCCTCCCCACTGCCAACGTAGCATGGATGGCTAGATGGGCAAATACAACCCTGAATGTTCTCTCTGGAACTACTTTGCTAAGGGCCAATCTCGGCATGTCTGTGTAGATAGCAGGACAGGAGCAGGAGGCCACAACAAAACAGGGACTCAAATGTCAAAGGCAAGCCCAGAGCAAGGTCTCCCACCTAACTGAGGCCAGGTCGCTGCCAGCTAAGCCCAAGTGAGACCAGGGCAGAAATAATCCTCAGGCTTGGCTCTGGCTCTGTGTGCATCTGAGCACTTCATTGTCATCTGCCCGTTTCTCCAAAGTCTGTGCCAAGAAAATAGTTTTCTGTTGTCTCCCCTGGAAGAAAGCCACTGGGGGGGTGGGGGTGGGGGCACGGCCAGGCGGGCTGTCGCTACAGTGACAGACATCACATCCTGTCTACACCAACTTCCTCCCTCAGCCACCCACTGGCAGCTGCTGCGGCTTCACACCTCCCCAACAGGTGAACCGGTAAGGAAATGTTTGGTGCCCCTGGGGCTTCAAAGACGGAGCAAAGTCACCCCCTTTGGGAACCCCAGCCTGAGAGCATGGAAGAGGCACATCAGGGGCCTGGCCAAACTTCAGATGCCCAGGAGAGAAGGACCCCCAGAGATGGAAACAGGTAGCAGAAGCAAGAATCAGCTCTGACCACAGGCCCACATCCTCCAGGCTAGAGCTCTGGGTGGCACTTTCTGGACAATGATGCCAGTCTCGCTGCTTCTTTGGGGACTGAAGTGTTATGGGGAAGGAAGTGTGTCAGGGGAATTCCCCCAGCCTCCAGCACTCTCATAAGAAATCGGTCACTGACTGCCGGGTGGGAGCCACCCGCCAATGGGGCAGGACCAGGGCTCGGCCGGGGCAGTTCTCTCCCTGCCAGACAAGGGTGTCAGGCCTTTTGCCTCCACCTGTAGTGTGCGTGCGTCCAGCAGGGCTCCAATGTCCTGAGGAAGCTGCTCTGCCCTGAGGAAGGACAACTTCCTGAGCTCCGGGGATAGCCAGGGAGCAAACCTGACACGGTTCCGGTCTCAGTCAAAGATTTGTTTCCTTGATCTTTTTCTTCAGTGGTTCCACAGAGACTGCGGGCTCTCAGAAGGCAGAAGCTGGGCTAAGTTCCTGCTAACTCCTCGCTGGGACCCTTGCTAAACAGAAAGGAGGCACAGCTGTCTTGGAGCGGAGGGCACTGAATGTAAAGTCAGAGGGTCCAAGATCAACTTCGAGCACTTCAGAGTCACTGGACCTCAGCGAGCTCGTCCATAAAACAGAGATAATCTCACTACTTCCCAGTGTTTTATGAGGACTAGATGATAAACATTTTATGTCTGTATTTGTCTGGAACACTGTGAGTGTTCAACACAGTTCCCTTTCCCTTCCTCCTGAAAGTCCTGTGTCACGTTGTGACATCCCAAGGACCTGCCCTCTTGCTTCTGGGCTGTCCCTCTATCTCTGCCTCTGTCCCTCCTCCAGCACCACTTCTCAACACTCCGAAGACAGAGCAATCCTTTACCCCTCCTTTGATCTCTCTCTGGTTTCCTCTAAGACTAGGAGGCAATTAAATACCACCATCTTTGGGGAGGGAGGCGGAGACCCCAGGGAGATGGGAAGACAAGGGGAAGATGAACTCAAACTGAAAACAACCCTGGGACTGATTCCTAAATCAGAGGGAACCTACAAGAAGTCTAATAATAAAAACCTATAATGGGAAGAAGCAGAAAGGCGTGGATCTGATGCTTCTCTAGCAAGGCTGCTCTGGTTTACTGCCAGTTTGAGGCCAAGCAGAGTGCCCTGCTCAGTGGCCAACCTCCTCCTGTGTTCTGTGGGAGCAAGGGCCCAGTCCCTCCAACAAGGCTTCCTTACTCCCCACCCAACCCGTCAGCCCCAGTGAAGCCCAGGAGGAGGGAGGCGGCTCTGGTCACAGAGGTTCCCTTCCCTTTCCTGCTCTGCACCCCCAGCCAGTGAGCCCCTCCTCATTTCCTTCCCACGGCAGGGGAAGGGAAATGCTGGTGGGGTTGGAGTTTCCTTCAAAGCTGTGGGCCCTGCTCTGGGACTCACCCTGACTCTGTTGGTCTCCTTGGGCCAGGCCTGGGGAAAACCCAACCAACAGAAATAGGAACCACAAAAAATTCCCAACTGTTTCTGTTGGTCCCAGTCAATCACGATAAATCTTAGGAACAGAGAGAAAAATGGCATAGTTCCTCTGAGAGACAGGGAGAGAGATATTTGAAACTTTCCTGCCAAGGGGATTCTGGAGGCTTTAGGGAAGGCAGGCAGGGGCTATTTATATTGAGCAAATATAGAACTTGAGTTGGTGCTTTTCTTAATGTTTTCCCTCTCAGAACCACCTCCCCACCAAGTCCCCTATGGCTGCACACTTCTCCCAAGTGTGGTGGCCCCAGCCCCTGTCCTCAGCCCATGGGGGTGGGGAGCCCTGGGAAGCAGAATCTAGAACTTCCCCAGAGATGAAATAAGGCACTGTCCTGAGCAACACAGGCTGCTGCACCCCCAGCCACAGCGGCCACCAAGCCCTCTCAGGCACCACAGCCCATTGTACATATGGGCAGAGGTGGAATGTGGTGAGGAAGCACAAGGTTTGGGAGTCCAAGAGACTGCCATAGAAGGAGCTGGAGCACTACATTCCCGCCCTGTGTTCCTGCCAGGATCCCCCTCACAAACCAACTACTATGTCCCCAAGCCAATGGTGAAGCAGGCAACACCGGGCACAAAGGACAGAGCGCTAGGAGTGGCCCAGCCTGCCCTCCACGTGTCTCTACTGGTGGGCAGTAGGCACAGCTCTGGCCAGCTGGGCACTGCTTCCAAAGGGCAAGTGCCCAAGGAGGGAGGTACCAGCTCCTGCTGCCTCAGCCCCTTGGCGGCCACAGCCAGCCCTGCTGCAGTAGCAGCTCCCAGACAATGAGAGTTATTTTCAGCCAGCGCTTTAACACAAGCCAGCTGGCCAGTGTGCAGGGCGGGAGTCCTCCTCCAAACAGCCCGCCCAGACGGCAGGCAGGCCAGCCAGGCCAGCCCATTGCCTACGCTGCTGCCGCCTCTGCGTCACCGTTTGTTTATCTCGTTATTTCAGCACAACTCCTCCTAACTGCCCCCCCAAAACTACAATCCTGTCAAAAGGAAACCAAAAAATCAGGGAGTTTGATCAAAGGTCCAAGAGATAAAATTAAAC